TTAAAGTTTGGATTCACCCAATTACAATAATACAGCAAAAACAAAAGGTCACTGACACATTTAATCCTTTTCAGTATGAGAATAAAACAGGCTCCACTTAGTTTATCTAAATTTGTTAGTATTTAAACCTTTAAAATAGTAACTATTTTCAAATCACACAAGTAGATACATTTGAATACATTAGAGAGTTACTGTTGCTTTCCTGGAGAGTGTGATCTGAAGGCTCCACCAAAAAAACCTGGCACCTGAATGATGCTCTGAGATCTGCATGCCTACTTCACAGATCACTGCACTGTGCTGAACTGACATTTGGAGATTGTATTGAGCAACTGTATGAAAGCAAAGGGAAGGGATGGAGGAGGGTTTATTTTAAAACAGAAAACATTTAACACACCCATCCTCTATAAGCAAGAGCTATCAGAAAAACCACTTAAAAATACACACATTTCTAATTTTCCAAGACTCAAACTATGGAAAGTAGATACTCTACCACGGGAGACCTTCCAATCCACTCTTCCCCCCACACAGTGCTTTGCCAAGAGCACAAGACCAAGTAAAACAACCCAGGCAATTTCCTTGTTTACTCAAAGAATTGCAAAAAACACGTTGACTGCCTCGGAAGCTTCAGAAACAAATGCATTTGCAATATTTAAAAGACTTTGCATGATCATGCTTGAAATAGAGAGACTAGTTATGATTCCTTCACCCAGTATTAAATACTTCTAACTTTATTAAAAGGGTTAAATTTTACACTGCAGCTCATTAGCATGCCGTGTTCGCAACCAGAAGGAAGAGGGAAAAGAGAGGTGGGAGAAAGCAGCGAAACACACAAGACGGAAAACATTACTACCTCCTTTGGTGGTTATGAATAATTTTATATGACCCCAAGATGCATGGGAAGAGTTCATGAATAGAAAGAAGGGGGGTTAAAAATCTGAACTGGCCCCTTCCAGATTCCTACTGATGTCGGAGACAAGAAGGAATTTATTTACACTGCAGTGCCTGGCAGCAAACATGGCTGCCCCTGCCCCCTTTAAATCTGAATAGTCTTCACTCCCTCACCAAAACCATCAAATTATGGCCATGGCTCTCCCTGTCTTGCTACCATTACAGGAACACACCTCCTCCTCCCTCAAAGCAGTAAAACCCACACCTCTCCATTTCACAACACCATAACCACTAGCTTCTCCATTCTCGAGCCTTGAAAGAAAACGCACAGAATAACAAATACAGGAACAAAAGGCTTTCCCTTCCTAGCACTCCAGCAAACCCCCTGCCCCTGCTTTTCCTTCCACTCTGACGCTTGGTCCGTAGTTCTCACCCCTTGTCAACATTCACTTCATTTCCTTCCCGAGCCCAATCCTGGGTCTCCTGGTTTCCTGAGTCTATTTCCTATCTTCCAATTGCATCCTGTCTCAATCACTTCTTATCCCTTTTTCCTAATCCACCTTTTCCTCCACTTCCATTCCCTCAGAGCTCCCTTGGGGCCTTGTCTCTCCATCACATTCCTTCTCCTTCCCCCAGACTCTCCTCTAGTTCACACACTCCACCCCCAAACCTGCCTATTTCACAGTCCGCCCAGGTCTCCCATCTCCGAACCCAACTCTTCTCGCTCCCAGCCCCCTCCCCCGTTCCATCTTTATCCCCGCCCCCATCCCACCTCTACTCCCAATTCCCAGCTCAGCGCCACTCCATCCCTCATCCCAGTCGCTACCTCCCCAGCCCCACCTCCCAATCCCCTCCACACCCCCACCCTGCCCCATCCCTCCACACCCCCCTCGAGCCCCTCCGGGCCACCCAGTGGTCCTTCCATTCCTGCAAAGGTCTTTCTCCCGACCTGGGTCTCATTCCTAGGTCGCCCCTTCCTCGTCGTCCCCTCCTCAGTCCTCCCTTCCAACACACACACACACACACACACCCTCACACACTCTTTCTCTCTCACACACACACACGCGCGCATTCACTTTACCTTCAGTTTGTTCCATTCTAACCCCCCGGCCGTGTCAGTACGATCACAGGAGAGACACGGAGGCCCGGAGTGGGGCTGGGGCGCGGGCAGCCGCCGGGGCCACGGCGGGAGGAGGCGGAACCAAGCTAGGCCTCATGAAATCCCCGGGCTAGATTTCCCCCGCGCCGGACGCCTCTGCCATGGCCGGCCGGCACCGAGGAGGGGGCCACGGCCGGGCCGGGCCGGAGCCGGCCGCGCAGCGAGAGGAGGAAGGCTGTGGGCGGGAGGGTGGGCGGCGGAGCCGGAGGGATGGGGGTCGCCGCGCAGCTGCAGCTCCCACAGACGAGCCCGTGGCTGGCGGCCGGGCCGGGGCAGCAGGGTCCTCGGTGCTCGACGCGGCCTCGCGCGCCTCTCCGCGGGCGATCAATGTGGACAGTCCCCCTTGGTCTCGGCCTCCGCCTCCGTCCTGGCCGCCCGCTGCCGCCGCCCGAGGGAGGGGGGAGCCAGAAACGCGAGCCGCCCGGCGGAGTCTAGACGAGAAGTGAGACCGCAGGCGATCCGGGCGGAGAGACAGGAAGGCGCGATGCGAAGGCCGAGTGAAAAACAAAACAAAACAAAACTAGAGGACGGGGTGGAGGTTGGGCCTGTGAGGCCAAAGTGTGCTCGTGCGTGTTCCCTGATGCTTGAGGAAATAACAGCGTCTGTCAGTCACCCGACGGCGGGACTCCGGGGTGACACCGCTAGGCCGTCCCCAGACCTTAGAAATCCCCCTGCAGACGGGCGCCCGGTTGATAAAGATGAGCGGGGGCGGAGGGACGGGGAAGGGGATAGAGCTGTCTGTGCCTCCCTGGCTGGCTCCCGCCCGACCGCTGTCAAAGAAGAGCTCCGCGTCCCACCCGGCTGTCTCAGACCGGAGCCCGTTGGGGCCAGGCCCGGACGGCAGTTCTCCTCAGACACCTCCGGGCAGGCCTCGGGCCCCCGCACGCCCGCTTCCTGCTCGCCCCGCGGGCCCGGAGGCTTGTGGGTAATGGGGGGAAAGGCGGCGCAGCCCGCTCCCCGACCCCGAGGGCTCCCCGCCCATCACGTGCCGGGCCCTCGCCTGCTCGCCGGCCACACCTCCGCTTCGAGGGATGGGGGCGTTGGTACTCGTCCAAGCTCACGCATGCTGGAAGGAGACGGAGGAAGCGGGAATCGAGATTCTGTTACCCTATATCCACCTCCCCCACCCCCCCATCCTAGGAAACTTATGTGAAACAATAGAAGGTCTCAGGTGCGTGAGACGGTAAACGAGTCTTGCAGGAGTGTGACGGTTTGGTGATATTTCCTGGGGCCTGGGGATAATGACTTAGGACGCGGCAGCGCAGACGTGAATGTACAAAGGAAACACAGGCAGCGAGATGAGGAAACCAATACTCGGTTCCGAGAATCATGAAGTCATATCACCCACTAGACGTTAGACTCTCCACCGACGTTACAGTGCGGGACCTATTTGGTACTGTTACGGGCAATTCCTGCTATCTTTATCTGTAAATACCGCTTAAACAGGAAATTTTAAAAGTCCTACATATCACTGATTTTCATGGTTACTAATTATGGATTCGTTTTTAAAAAGCACCGCCCTGTTAATAATGCTAAGTTACGATATTTAGAATTAGGATCTCCATTACTATCCTTAACTATTTATACACCTATACTTGTGTGGTTGCTATGCTTGTGATACCAGAAGTTAAAGGAATCAATAAAAGCACATTTTTCTTTGTTTTAAATGTCTTTTTAGAACACAAATCTCCAAAGGGGATTTGTGAACTTATTTCAAATGTTTGATTCTACCTCCTGGAAAGAGAGGTTAAATTGGTCTTTTTTTTTTTTTTTCTTTCCTAAGATCCTTTCTACCTCCATCTTCTTTTCCATCTTCCTGTATCTTTCTTGCTTTGTTGATAAGCCGTTTCCTTGGCCTGACACTTGGATTGTCCCCTTGAGGAGAATGTGGAAAATTATTCCCAGGGATTTTATTTTAATCTGCTTCTAAAGCTGTGCTGTCAAGAGTTTAAATTTATGTGAAGTAAATGCAGTCTTTTCCTGCATAAGATATATATTGTCAATAATATTTGGTCTGGAGCCATATTTAGAGAAATAACTATTAAAAATAATAATTTCTATTTTTAGCATCTAACATGAGGTTCAGAACATGCTTTCTCTTCTTCATAGAAAGTGAGCAAATAGCTCATTAAAGAAAGCAATTTACAATTCTCAGGGCCAAGGTTAGGGAGAAAAAAAATTGTTTTTCTCTTCTGAAGATTATATTAAGAAGCTCATTACATGATAAATAACTTATCCTGAAAGTAAAAAAAAAAAAAACAAAAAACCCACCGGGTCTGGTAACAGAAGGCAGACACTGCTTTGAACCAATGGATTTCAATAAGGAAGATTCTTAACCGTTCCCTTTTTAAAATGGGATTGCTGACATATGGCCATGGTAGAAAGTCTAGCTCATCTTTCAAATACTGGGTTTGGTATAGCTCGTTTGGTTTATGAATACTTAATGATTTTCACTGTGCCTGGTTGTAAATGAATACAATGCATGAATAAGAATAATTTCCCGGTATAAAATGTCTCCCAGGGAACTGAGAGGAATATTTTTGCATCTTTTATGATCTTTTCCAGAAAAGTACATGTGCATGATAATGCAGTGATTAATTTATGAAATTAATGTGAAAAGTGTACCTACCTAGCCTTTTAGAGTTCAAAATTTACCATTGGGAATTTTCAGGGAAAGAAAGGTACAGAAACCAAAGCTTTATAGATTTTAATTCTAGAAAACAGAGACCATGAAGGGAAGCCTTTATGTGGAAAGTTGGCTATCAGACATGCACAATGGGCCCTCTAGTGGCCACACCGAAAAATTTTGCCCATTTAACATAGTTATCTATTTGGTTATTAGCAAAAATAAAAAAAAAAGCTTTGTGGATTAAAAGCTGCCTTCATTTTTTTTTTTTAAAGAATGAAATTTTATACCCATCAGCTTTTATTCTTACAAATGCGCAGCCCAGATGAATAAAGTTTGTGGTCAGTCACATGCTAAGAGAAGCGTTCGTGTGGAAGCGATGCCTTCCTGTCTGGTGTTAGTCAAAAGAGAGCCACCAAAATTGTTTTCCTTCTAGAGTCAGATTAAATGGATGGGTAGAGATAACTGGGGAGAGGGAACATTTTTACATCTTTCACGTTCCAAAAATGACTCAGTTCCCCAGCCTAGGAACTGAAGTGCCCCCAAACCTGCAGTGCTAATGTAACCGCACAACTACTATAATACACATTTTAAATATTGAGATTTCTACAATATTGAACATAAACAACGTCTGCTAGGAGAACATTAATAAAGCAGTTTTCTTTAGTGGAGTTCATATTTCCATATGCAGATTTCACAATATTCCAGTTTTTGACCCTAGAGATAGGAGAGGAATGTTTTCCTCACCATTCCCGCCCTTTCTGCCATTCCCTCTCCCTGCTATTTTTCCCCGCCCGCAGTTGCGGAGTTGGAAGGTGGAAGGGGAGACATCAAAGTGATGTAATTGGTGACTCCCTGATGGTTACCATGGCGACTATCAGGCAAATTACGCTACTGGTAGAGTAAGAGCTTCTTCCATCTAGTCTTCAAGAAAGCGTTTTGGGGGGGAGGGGGCGGACGGATGTGAATCCACAGCCTACAGAAGACGGTCAGGCAGGGTTGAGCCTCCCAGCACAGACAACTCCTTGAACAAAACCCCGTAGACGAGTCGTTTCGCCGGTGGGAACCGGACTTGGCTGCCTCCTAGGCGGCCACCGCGAAGGACGCCCTCGCGCCCCAGAATCTGCGAGCTGACTGGCGGGTGGTGTCGTCACTCACAGTGACGTGATGGCGGAGGAAAGAGGTGGAGCCATAGAGACTTGGCTTCTGGCCCTTCTAGCTGGGGGAGCCGGGGGAGGAGGGGCATTGGGAAGGTACTGGAGGACTGAGGCAGCCGTTCCGGGAGCCGGCCGGAGGAGGTAGGGGCGGGCGGGCCAAGTCCTCAGGCTGTTACTCGGTGGACCGCGCCCGCCTGTTTTCCTCCGGAGCCCGCTCCCCTCCGTATCCTGCTCCTCCCATCGGCGCCCAGATTCCCCATCTTCCAGGCCCCACCCCACTCTCTCCTCAGCCCCTGACCTCAGTCCCCTACCCGCGCCTCAAATTTTGAGCTCAGCCTCCATCCCCCGCTCCTTCTGTGCTTCATTTCCTCATTTCTTTTCAGCACCCTGCGCCACGATGCTCCTCGCCTTCCTTCCATAAACTCGGACCGCCAAAGCTCGTGGTCCCACTGCCTGCACCATCCCCTTTCCAAAAAAACAAAGACCCCTCCCCCAGACCCTACCACAGCAAACACAGCCCACCAACGCACAAGGCGCACAAAAGCCATCTGCTGGGGAAGCCGAGGGCGCCTTTTGCCTCCGTGTCACCGAGAATCAGAGGCAAAGGTAACCCGGGGAGCCTGGGGCCCGGGAGAGCTGGAGGGGCGGTGCGGAAGCGCAGGCGGGGCTCGCCGCCGGCCCCACCCCCCAGGCCTAGGCCCCGACCCCGACCCTCCCCGCCTCGGCCTCGGCCCCGCCCTCCTGGGAAGTGGTTGCTCAGAGCAGATTAACTGTCCCCCTCCAACAGGAGACGACATGCCCTTGGTCTGGGTCCAGATGCTCTGGAGTATCATATGAATTCTTGTTCAAGACGTCAGCTCTATGGTTGAGGTTTCCGACCAGGAGGGACTGGAACTCCTTTCCCAGCTGCAGGAAAACAGTTGACAGTGTGAGAAACCAATTCTCTTGCTGCCTATGGCTGAAAAGTGCCCGTAGGGTGGTCAAAAATTTTGGCAAAGCTTATTTAAAGGTTTAAAGCTCAGTTTGGGTTTCCTTTGTGGCTCAGCTGGTAAGGAATCCGCCTACAAGGCTGGAGACCTGGGTTCGTTCCCTGGGTTGGGAATATCCCCTGGAGAACGGAAAGGTTACCCACTCCAGTATTCTGGCCTGGAGAATTTCATTGACTGTATAGAGACACGGCAAAGAGACACGACTGAGCGACTTTAACTTGGGCTCTTTAGAGAATCCTTAGCATAGGAAAATAGGCTTCCTCCACTTCTGAATTATTAGTACGTACCTTGCATATTTTCACTGATGAGTATTTTCAGTCTTTAAAGGCTTGGCAGCAGCTTGGCCAAGTAAGGAGAAAACCTAATTGAAAACAAGTGCAGAAAATTTATTGTCTACTTGTAATTTTAGGCTACAAATAAGTGTGTCTCAATCAGTTTCTTAGACACTTGGCAACCATTCAAGTAAATTACTAACTACTATTTACCAGAAATCAGAATGTCTTTGAAGACCATATCATCATATGAACATCATTGTATTAGAGATCGTTTCTATATGTGGGGATCTAAAAGTACCATTCTCAAATCTAGGGCTAAGAAAATATTACTCCTGATTGGTGTAAATGAAGAGTGAAATTGGAAATGAACTTGAGGGAGACTTTATGCTTTGAATAGAATATGCAAATTTTCTACACTTGAAGTAGTTTATAACACTTAAATCCTGGTATCTGAATAACTGATATGTTTTTCAGGTACTGAATTGTTTACTTACTCCTTCTGCCCAGGTCCCTATGTCGACTCATTGAGAGAAATATAAATATGGCCTTCTACAGTTATAAAACAGTCTTAGCTATTGCCCGGACAAGGTAAGCCTTGGGATTCCCTCCTCTCTCCACTATTTATATGAACCTTATTTTTCTAGATGGAAAGATACATGTAAAAGGATAGACTCAGTACACAATTAAAGCTTTCTTGGTTTTAATTGTGTTGGCTTTTAGGAACCAGGCATTTTAATGTATTTAAACTTACCCTAGATTTTCTATATGCTTTAGAACTCAAGCTGAGTAATTTTGTAAAAGTGTGGAACAGGTAAGATAGAAAATGTAATGACTTTAGAGTGACACCCCTGTAACTGATGAATGTTACATGCAGCCCTTAGATGTAAAAAGGAGTAAAATGGCTGGCAAGCAAGCCAATCCTAGGGCTTATACCTGCCCCAGTAAGGCCTGTTATCACTTACTTATTCCAAAGAGTATTCACTGAGACCTTACTGTGTGCCAAATACATTGTACATTTTCCCTTTTGGCCATTCAAAAAGTGCTTTATCTTGGCAAAAATAGTCTGAAGGAATGGAAAAAGCCATTTCTATGCCAAAAGAAATCTCTTTGCCAGAAACTTTCTTTTACCTAGCTGGGTCTTATTTTTATTTTCAAACAATCTGATGTGTCAGTTTAGCTGAAGATTGTGAGTTGTTGCAAAACTGGAATGTAGAGATCCCTGGCTGGGGAGCCTAATTCTAATTCTTATTCCCAACATTCCTTAGGAGTCTTAGGTGAAGGACATTTCAGCTGTAAGTCCTTCTTATTTGAAGGAGTCCCTGGGCACTGCATAGACAAAGCAGTATTATGTGATTGGTTAGTCCCCACAGGGACCATGAAATGTTTCATTCAAACACTATTTCTGTCATCAGTAGAGTAGCTGAAAACACAAGTGTTCCACCTGCTTAATGATAATAGAGACAAAACTTTCAGACATAACCCCAGATGGAAAAATGTTTGCTTTTTAAATGAATAGTCACAGAGTTTCTAGCTTGTAACACAACAGTTATCCTTAGGAAATAACTTATTGATATTTCTCATAGAGTGTATCATTCACCCACAAAGCATACTGTTATTCAGTTGGACTAAAAAGTTGTATGTCATTCATTCATGAACATGATCAGCTTTGAAAAATGCAAGCTTAAAAATGATTGTTTTATTTCTACCAGATAAAATATTTATTTCTTTACTCTTTCATTCTGTAATAGTATGTGCTTGACTCAGAGGCTGTTGGTCTTTATTCCAGATTCCCTAGCCATTTTGTCCAGCCTACCAGTTCTTCTTACTCCCCATCATTTGCATTTCTTCACTTGCCAGATTCCCATTTAAACAAAACCTATATGAAGAACTATGGAAGCAGAAAGTACTCCTATCCAAGTCAGTCAGGCAATAAAGTACTTCATTTACGAGCCAAAATCTTCCAAGAGCTGCACACATCGACTTGCTGGTTGCAGGATGTCCCCAATAAACATCAGCAGGAGCAAACAGCAAAGAAGCCTCAGGTGCCAAGCCCTCAGCCCATGAAAGAAGCAGGCATGAAGATTAAGGAAGGAAAGCGATCTTATAGACAAATAATTATGGATGAACTGAAATATTATTACAATGGATTCTATTTGCTCTGGATTGACACAAAAGTTGCTGCCAGGATGGTTTGGAGGCTGTTGCATGGACAGGTGCTGACCAGACGAGAGAGAAGAAGGGTAGGCAAGAGTCATATTTGAGAAAGAAAATGTAAAATTGAAACGAACTGTTGGTCAACCAACTTTTAAAAAATCCCTCTGAAAAAGTCCCAGAGTAGGAATAGTAATTCACGGTGAGAACCAGAGTTTCTGACTTATCTGCAACTGACTTGCTGTACACCTGTAGATGGGCTCTTAAAATATGTGTATAGTTGCCCATGGAATGCTTATAATTGTGTTTTCTAATTTCTCCAAGGAGTTGAGAGGCTTCAAGTTTGATATGTGCATCTGGAGTAGAAACTGCTGTTAATGTATTACGTGTATGCATTTGAAAAAACAATTTTAATAGATACCATGTTATTAAAGTATTGACTTAGATGAAAGTGCAGAGAAGCCAATAATATGTTTTGATTGTCATAGATTTCCTTGAAGATATCCCATAAACATTACCTCTGAGCTAAGGTACAGAGGAAAATCCGGCCTTTCCATTTTATAAATAGCTGCCTTGGGTTTTTAATGCTTTCAGAACTGAGGCAGACTTTTGTTTTTGGCATGGCCAGAAATAATGGATATTTGCATATGCCTTTAATTCTTTAGCTGCTGAGAACCTGTGCTGATTTCTTCCGCCTGGTTCCATTCATGGTGTTCATCATTGTCCCCTTCATGGAATTCTTATTGCCAGTGTTTCTGAAACTTTTCCCAGAGATGTTGCCATCAACTTTTGAAAGTGAATCCAAAAAGGTATGAGGATTTTGAAAGCTTTTAAAAGAATTAATAGAGTTTTATCTTTTTAAGAGCAGTTTTTAGGTCTACAGAAAAATTGAGCAGAAGGTAGAGAGGATCTCCAGCTACCTCCTGACCCCCGCTCCTATTTCCCCTATAAAATTTTTAAAATTATTTTTAAAATTTATTTTTTGACCACACAAAAGTTAACTGTGACTAGATGACCAGACCCTTGCGTGCCTATGAGTAGCTCCCAAGCAGAGGGTGTCCTCCCCCTCCTCTGATGGCCACTGTGAAGGTGAAGGGCTGGCCAACCAAGGCAGCCCCTTCATCCTCTCCATCTAGGCCACTCTGCCAGACAGACGGATGAAGGTGTGGATCCCGCCCCGTGAAAGAACAATGAAGGCAATTTTAAAATCAGACTGAGAAATGTTTCCCTGTCGCAGTGACCATGGACTTGAGATTACAGAATAGTAGAATTTTACCACACTGTTTGAAAGGCATTCTGGATAGAAGGACTAGCGTTTAAGATGCCCTAACAGTATAAAAGCGTATGACATAATCAAAGACCACCGACTGGTCCTCTGTAGTTGGAGCAGGAAATACCAGGGGATCCATGGGAGCAGATGAGACTCACATACTGTCCTGGGCTCAGGTTGGAAAGTATCTGCCACCCTCAGGAATTTAGACTTTGACTGTGGTGATTGATGGAAGGTGAATGCAAAGCAGGGGACGAGAAAAAAAATTGATCTATATTTTAGATCAATCTAAATTATCTAATCAATCATGATTAGAGCTATATTTTAGGAAAACAGTTTGCTGGCAGAAAGGATTAAAAGGGTGGAATAAGAATAAGAATCAGCTGGAATGTTATTACAGTAGCATGAGAGAGAGACGGAGGACAAAACCTGAATCATAAAAGTTTCATCAGGAGCAAAACCTTGAAGATAGGTTTGAGACAGATTTAAAGAGTAGAATCAAATCGCAACATTTGACTGCCTGGCAGGGGTTTGGAATGAGTTTACTTACATTTAAAGTAGTCAGGGTTAGGATTAATACCATGGGATTCCAAGGAATGTGTATGCGGTGGGGTTGTTTTGTTTGGTTTTGGTTTTGGCTGCACCATGTGGCATGAGAGATCTTAGTTCCCTGACCAGGGATTGAACCTTTACCCTCTACGGTGGAAGTGCAGCATCTTAACCACAGACCTGCGGGGGAAGTCCCCAGGGAATGTGTTAGTGAATGCAGAAAGAGGTCGGGGATGAGGTAGTAATTTATCTAAGTGTTCCTCTTTCCTCAACATTGCATGTTTCCTGAACATATGCACATACATATCATGGCCACAGTATTAGAAACTACTTTCTCCTTTGCTTTGTTTGGTGATCAGCGGGAGAGAGCGAGAGAGTAAACATGAGTACCTAGCTTTCTGCTTACACAAGGTCCCAGCACCATGCACTTCTCTTTCATGGTACTTGCCTGATATACTTTTAGATTAATTTGTGGAATTACCTGGAGAAGGAAATGGCAACCCACTCCAGTATTCTTGTCTGGGGAGTCCCATGGACAGAGGAGCCTGGTGGGCTGCTGTCTATGGGGTCACACAGAGTCCGACATGACTGAAATGACTTAGCAGCAGCAGCAGTGGAATTACCAGTTTAGTATTAATTGACAATGTTTGTCTCTCCCATTAGACTAGAAGTTTCCTGAGGGCAGGAATTCTTACCTGCTTTTGCCCAGTTTACCCTAGCACCTAGCACAGGGTGGATGTTCAATAAACAGATGAATGAAATTGATGGCTGCATGGGTTTTAATGATGGTATTGCCATTGTGTGATTCTAGGGGGCTGATTCTTCTAAGATATTTCTAAAAAAAAAAAAAATCAATGATTGCTATGATTTGCTTGTCATTAGAATTTTTGGGCAACTTAATGGGGGGAATATATATATATATGTAATATATATATATGTAATATATATGTGCAATATATATATGTAATATATATATGTAATATATATATTATATATATATGTATATAAAACACATTTATTCCTGTTCCTCTGTATCTACCTGATCATGGTTATTTTGAAAATACTACCACACTATATCTCTGATGGTGAACAAGGATTTAGAATTAGTGGTTAACGTATTGTCTTAAGAGTATGCATTTAATTCTCTTCTACGTAATGCTTTGTTTATATCTGTTATAGCACTTCATTATCTTGTAATTAATTGTGTTTGTTTTCTTCTTAACCTGTAAACTTCATTAGCTTAATTTCCTAGTTTGGTTTGTGGCCAAGGAAAATCAGATCCCTCAGACCAGGGGTCCTCTTGACCAATGACCTAGATGGTTTGCACCAGGTTAAGAGATAGTGACAAAGGCTTCCCCTGAGGGCACTATTTTGAACCCATCCAATATTTATGATGATTGCATTAGTGAGAAAGGTAAGATTAAGGAGACAAGCTGCAAATCGAGGCTACTTTTTAATTTTCTCTGGTTTTCACAAAACTCCTTGAATTAGGTCTAATGAGAATATTCATTCATGAAGTAGAGATGGCAAGCAACAACACCACAATCGTGTTTCTCTCATCTTTATCTACCAAGTTGTAATCATGAAGGATTAATTCTAACTTTCCTCTTCCATCATGAAGGAAGAAAAACAGAGAAAGAAAATGGCTGCAAAGTTGGAACTAGCGAAATTCCTTCAAGAAACGATTACAGAAATGGCAAAGAGGAACAGGGCCCAGCTGGGGGACTCCTCAACCCAGTTCTCCTCCTACGTCAAACAGGTGTCAGTCTTTTATATAAAACCAGACAACTTCGTGTCATCACGGAGCTTCCAGATTGTTCCTGATCTCTGAATTTGCAAATATCTCAGTTACAGAAATACAGTATTTCAAAAATTTATGGGAGTTTGCAGAAAACCTATCTTAAAGCCATCAATGCTTTGAAGATGTTAATAACTACTTAGAAAAACAGTACAATGAAACTCAAACTTTTGAACTTCTCCTGATTGTTCAGTTGATTTAGGCTGACTTCCGACAGATTCTTTTTTTTAAACTCCTCTTTGTAACTCAGCCCCCACTTCCAGACCTAAGATAGAATCCATAAGTGCTTTGGCATCTTTCACATGGTCTACAGGGAAGATTCTTTAAGCAGGAAGCAGGTTTTTATTAGTCCCTGTGTCCCACTGCCTAGGTCCAGACAGGCCACAAGCCCAGCATCAAGGAGATAGTTCAATTTTCCAAACTCTTTGAGGATCAGCTGACCCTGGAGCACCTCAACCGACCTCAGCTGGTGGCCCTTTGCAAACTGCTGGAACTGCAGTCCTTTGGAACCAACAATCTGCTTCGCTTCCAGCTACTGATGAGGCTGAAGTCTATAAAAGCAGATGATGAGGTAAGAGCTGAGCTACAGCTGGAGGGAATTAGCCAGGCCTTGGGGACTGTCTTAGGGTGGTTCTGTGACAAAGTGCACTGCCTTCTGTCAGGTCTGCCTGAAGGCTGGTTCTGGCAGAATGAGTGGTCTGAGCAACCTGAACCTTGATGACTCACTTTCGAGGTTGCCTGTTGGCCTCTTGAGAAGATCTTGTAAGCAGTGAGTAGCTTGGATGTCTTAGCTGGGGCTAATCAAAACCAGTTAGGACCCATGGGAAAGGAACAGCAACTCAGTAGATCCCAGGGAACAGATCACACTGCCAAGGACCGTGCTCAACACCCACCCCTCCCCCGCCACCCCCCACACTTGCCCTGTGCTTCCTTCGCTTGGATCTTGGTGAGCAGCCCTGGTAAAAAGGGGTGGCCAAGGATGGAGGGAAGGCAGGACCCCAACATCTTCTGGAGTAAGGGCACCATTGGACTGTAACTACTCGTTAGTGTCCTTAAAAAGTGGAAAGAATGTTTCTTGAATCTGAATCAGCCACTTTAAAAGCATTCTGCCTGAGGGAGCAGGATTCCCAGAACTGAGAAGGCAGGATCCCGTTGGCCCCATTTAGATTTCAGTGGTTGCTTTCAAAACTGTGGAATAAACAATCCTGGTCCCAGAAGTCCCATAGCTTGGGGTCATACCAAATAGAAACTGTGTTAAGTTATTTATTGAGGGAGTTTTGAGGCCCAGGGAGTTGGGGCTGTTCTTAGGGGGTTGGGGGGTGGGGGAGGAACACTGCTGGGACGTGCAACAAATGTACATTGAAAGCTTTTCAGATGGAATGCTTTTCTAATGAGTCTTAAAGTCACCACTAAAGGGAAGTGGAGTGGAGCTGTCACAACCAGGCGCAAGGCAATGCAAGAGGGAGAAACACCTCGGGGTCAGGCGGTGGAGTTCTGTAAATTTCTGATATTATTCACACCCGCTGGCAGGATTCCCTTCACCTCCACCACTGCACCTCGAGGTCACCTGGCTTTATTGAGCGCCTGGCCTTTGTGGCAGGCAGTGCAGGGGACAGAGTGGGAAAGCTAGCTGATTCTGCCTTTCCCCTGACTTGTGGGAATTGAAGGATTAGGCAAAACTGGAACCAAAGGACCTGATGCCATTCCTTCTGGGTTTTTTTTCTTTTCCCCCAGGTAATTGCCAAGGAAGGGGTGAATGCCCTGAGTGTGTCGGAGCTCCAAGCCGCCTGCAGGGCCAGAGGGATGCTGTCACTGGGTCTCACTGAGGGGCAGCTGAGACAGCAGCTCACAGAGGCAAGTGGCTGCTTTCCTGGGCCCCGCTGAACTCTCTCCCATCCCGTTGGCGTGTCTGCTCAGTTGCTTCAGGCATGTCTGACTTTTTGCAACCCTATGGACTGTAGCCCTCCAGGCTCCTCTGTCCATAGAATTCTCCAGCAAGCATACTGGAATGGGTTGCCATGCCCTCCAGGGGATCTTCCTCACCCAGTGACTGAACCTGTGTCTCTTATGCCTCCTGCATTGGCAGGCAGGGTTCTTTACCACTAGAACCATCTGGGAAGCCCCCCTTCCCATTTTCAGGCCTTGTTTTTCAATTTCTGCCTTGCCATCTTACCTAATTGGCCTTCTTTAACAGCCGTGGGCCACTGGAGAAGCTGGCTTTATTTTTGACTACACCACGCTACTCTGTTAGTTGTCTATGGCTGCTAACACACTACCACAAACTTAGCCGCTCAAAGTAACACCCGCTGATCAGCTCCGGGTCCTGCAGGTCAGAAGTGCAGGCTGTTTTCCTTTCTGGAGGCCATGGGGGAGATTCCACTTCCAAGCTCATGCAGTTTGTTGGCTGAATTCAACTCTTGCAGCTGTGGGAGTGCGGGCCCTGTTTCTTCACTGGCTCCTAGCCCCAGGCCACTCTCAGCCCCTCCAGCCTCTCCATCTGCACTGAACTTCTCACCCAACCCCTAGCTCCAGATTTAAGGCCTCATGTGATTAGGCAAGACCTACCTGGGTCATCTTCGTATTTTAAGGTCAACCTACTTGAGACTTGAATTACATCTGCAGAATCCCTTCATGGGAGCACAGAGTTTAATGTTTAATTGAGTAACTGGGAGAAGGCTTAGGTACACAAGGGACAGAAGTCTTGGGACCACCCTCCAATGCGCCACCTCCTCTGGGTATCATGAGGGTTCTGAACTGAAGCTCTGATAGCGGGCCTGTCATCCGGGTGAATCCCCTTGAAGGCCTATGCCTTCTGGGGCTGCTTTCCCAGTTCATGCCCCACACCAGGGTCAAGTGTTAGCTTTGTAGCAGACTCCCCTCTGATAACGTGCTCTCTCCCAGACAGTGGATTTTAACGGAGCGTTTAAACTGTTTTAAGTGCTTTAAAACAAAGTAGTAACTCCTATTACAATCCTCATTCCCAGTACTGTAAAAGGTGCTGTGGAAGGACTTCCCTGGTGGCCCAGTGGTTAAGGCTCCACACTCCCCGTGCAGGGGGCCCAGGTTCAATCCCTGGTCAGGGAACTAGATCCCACATGCTGCAACTAAGAGCCCACATGCCTCAACTAACGAGCCTGCATGCTGAGGATAAGGGCCGCCATGCCTCAACTAAGAGCCTGCATGCCTCAACTAAAGATCATGCATGCCGCGGATAAGGGCCGCCATGCCTCAACTGAGAGCCTGCATTCTGCAACTATAGGTCTGGCACGGCTGGAAAAAAAAAAAGAAAGTGCTATGGAGTATGCACAAATTATTTAGGGCTAGGACCCATTGTTATGGCTTTGAACAACATCAGGTAGCGATTTCCTCTTCCATGTCGGACCTGCTCTGACTGGAAGGGGAGCATGTTCTAGGGAGTGTTTAAACATCGTTTATTTCCTGCATGTAGGGTATTAAGTGACTTCATCCTGTCAAATTGTTTTGTTGGAGGGATGTGTTGTTTTACAATCCCCCTTCAAGGGAGTGAGAAAACTAAGCCAACCATACAATCTTCAGTGCTATGGATTACTGTTCCCAAAATCCTGTGTTAGGATATGGCTGACATCTCATAGAAAGGAAAAGCTAAAAATGATAAACTTACAAAATGTCTTAGCTTCAAAGAAAAAAATAAAGTTTAAACTATGAGATTCCATATGCACTTGTTACCTTGGGAAAGGTCAGAGGTGGGTGACGCCCTGTGTTGGGGAGGGTGTAAGGACAGAGGGGCACTCATGGAGTGCTGGTAAAACCCTGCATGGAGGTTTGGCAACAGCTTCCAAAATTTAAAAATGCATTTACTTGGACCTAGAAATTTCAGTGCTAGGAATTTGCACATGTGCAAAATGACATACCTAAAAGATTATCCATTGCAGTACCATTTATGATAGCAAAAGACTGAAAACAGCCTAAAGTTCATTAGTACAATAATCGAATAAATTATGGCATTTCCATCAATAGAATCCTTTACAGACATTTAAAAGAAGGCAGTTCTGGGACCTCCCTGGCGGTCCAGTGGTTAAGACTGTGCTTCCATTGAAGGGGCGTGAAGGGGGCGTGAGTTTGATCCCTGGTCAGGAAACTAGGATTCTGTATCCAGCACACTGTATGGTGAGGCAAAAAAATAAATAAATAAAAAGAAGGCAGCTCTACATCTATTGGTACAAATCAATTTCCAAGATACTTCAGTGAAAGAAAGCAAACGACAAGTGTGTATATATCACCCTTAGTGTAAAGATAAACATATAAGTGCGTATTTGGTTTTGTTGTTAATATTTTATTGGCTCAAGTGTTGTGGCTACCACTGAGGTTTTGTTTTGTTTTGGCCATGCCTCAGGGATGTGGGATCCCAGTTCCCCTGACCTGGGATGGAACCCATGTCCCCTGCAGTGGAAACACTGGTGCTGGGAAGTCCCTAAATGTATATTTGTATATGCATAGGATATCGCTGTAAGATTGTATCAGGAACTGGTAGCAGTGGTTGCTTCCAGGGAGGGAAATAGGGTAGCTAGAGAATAGAATAATTTAGCTTTTGAATTTTGTCTTGTGTGCATCTGTCTATCTATCTATCTATGGTCTTCCCTGGTGGTTCAGTAGGTAAAGAATCTGCCTGCAATGCAGGAGAACCAGGTTCGATCCCTGGTGGGGGAAGATCCCCTGGAGGAGGGAATGGCAACCCACTCCAGTATTCTTGCCTGGAGAACTCCATGGACAGAAGAGCCGGTGGGTGATAGTCCATGGGGGTCAAAAAGACTCACATGACTGAGTGACTAATGCACACACATACCCCTATCCAAAATTTGGCCAATTTGGAGCTTGAAAAATTATATCTCATTCTAATGTTAATTTCTTTAGTTATGAATGAGGTTGATGTAATCTTTTACATTTATCTACTTTATACTGAAGATACCTCCTTTGATCCACGGTTGGTGTAAGAGGTTAATTGAACCTCCCTCTCTGACTGTGAGGGGCTGTAGGGCCCAAGCAGGGATGCAGCAGCCAGGAGACATGCCCCTGTCCTTGCTTTAGTACTCAGCGTGCGCCTGGGGGGCTGTGAGACCAGAGAAGAGGAGATGCAGGGGCGGGGGGTCACGTCAAACGGTCTGTGATTGTCATGCTTCATCCCTCTCCCGTTCTCCAGTGGCAGGACCTCCACCTGAAGGAGAATGTCCCGCCTTCTCTTTTGCTGCTGTCCCGGACCTTCTACCTGATAGATGTGAAGCCGAAGCCCATTGAGATACCGCTCAGTGGGGAGGTGAGTCCTGGCTCAGTGGGAACCCGGGCCCCATGGCCGGGCCGCTCGCAAACCCGCCTCCTTTCACAGAGTAGGCCTCTCTTTTGGCTTATCTTTTGGAATTTGGCCCCAGTGGCTTTAAGATCTTTTAAAAATTCCTTTAAAAAATGAAAATCACTCAAACCACCTGTAGCTTTTGAGCTGTTTACTGTGTTTAGGAGTCTTATTTGATTTCTTATTAGGAGTCTGGCTTTATTCTTTCTAAGTATCTAGTCTTCTTAGAGGTTTTTTTTTTTTTTTTTTGTCTTCACCATTCTTTCTCCTTTGAGATGGAATAGTTCCTGTTCTTTCCTGTCTGTCTCATTTGCCCAGATTCCTATTAATATTTAAGTGGTGAATGGCCAGTCTAGAAAATAAACAATTCCTTTGTCTCCCTTCAGCCCATTTCCTTAATTATTTGTGATTGCCTTTAACTCAGTGGCTTTTGTTCTCCTGGTGTTCTGAAGAACCCAGGACTGGCCCAATCACTAGAGCATCTTGCTCTGGGTCCATCAGAGGGGGCCTCTCACTTCCCTGCTTTGTGGCTTCATGTCTGACTCGGAAGCTGCATGTGTGAGAAGGGAGGGTCCATGAGAGAAGAGGTTGCACTTGTGGCTGGTGGATGGAACCAAACGCTCGGGAGTGAGGACCAGTCATTTGGAATCTTGGTTATGCTATCGATTCCTTGGGCAAGCCAAGGAAAACATGAAGTCCAACATGAAAAATGTTCTTCAGGAAACACCATCTTGCTTTCCTTTTACAAATTTTCAGAAACTGATCTGGATTTGGGCTTGATCCAGAAGCATTCTAGGGAGACTTAGGAGATAACGTCTGGAGCATAGACCATGTTCTAACAGGCTCCTGTGTTCGTACTCTTTCTTTGAGACAGACCAGTTCGTTGTCATTCTTAGACTGCTCTCAGTAGCAAGGAAGTCTTAGAGTAGCAAAATGTCTCAGAGCTAAATTTGACTTTCAGAATGATTCTAGAAGGTTATAAACTCTTGATCCCGATGTTGCTTTCTGGAATTGTTAAGAAATACCTGGGAATTGGACTTCCTTAGTCGTCCAGTGGTTAAGGCTCTGGCCTTCCAATGCAGGGGCCTGGGTTCTATCCCTGGTCAAGGAATGGAAGATCCCAGTTGCTTCACAGCGCCACCCTCGGCCCCCCTGCCCCCCCCACCAAAAAAAAAGGTAAAAAAAAAACGTACTATTAAGAAAAACTACCTGGGAATTAGGGACAAAAGGACAGGCTCCTAGGCATTTTATTGTTATTGTTGTTTTTAATACATGCTTTTAAACTTCTGTTCTTCATATGTACAAAAACAAGTAACATGCTAGGTTCAGTAGAGAACTGACAGACATGAAACTGAATATACTGTAGTTTTGGATATATATAGCCCTTTTCCCTCCAAAGTACATGAAGAAATTACTTCCAAAGAGCAGTGATTTACTTTTCAAACGTAATTAATATAATTGTTGAAGACAGGTTAGCTAGCTCTTCTAAAATACCACTCCCTCCCTCCATCTTCAGGTATTGCAGGAACTTCTGTTAATTAACACCTTTCTTTTGAATAGATCATCTATTACTAGCCACCAAAAATGACACCAAAGATGTCAGTTTTGACTAAGTTGTATCAATGCCAGCAGAAACTGATGCCTAAGTGAGAAATGGCAACTTTTGTGATTTTTTTTTTTTTTTGAGAGTGAGAACAGGATCAGAATGGCAAATAAGTAGCTTCTTAATAACAAAGGGTTTTAAATATCAGAATCTGATTAGAGTGTAACTTTTATATCTAGAGTGCTTAAAAGTTAAAAGGTAATACTAAGTTGCTATTTCAGGGACATATACTGCCTATTTCACCCAGAAAGGAAGTCAGGAAAGCAAATTGTGCTGAAAAGTACTAAGGTAGAAGTGCTTCTGAGTTTCAGGAGGAGCAGACAGCTTAATTTTTATAAAACATCTCTCTCCCTAGGCTCCAAAGACAGATATTCCCCTGGGATCACCCACTCCCCCTGAATCTAAAGAGAACATGGCCGGTTTAGCACCTCAACTGAAGGGAACTCAGGTGAGACACTTTTGATTACATGAAAAAATCAAGAAGTTAATTTCACTGGTGTCCTTTAATAAGGACTTACTTTTGGGTACTGCTTGATCTAAGAAAGTTCGGCATCTGGCTGTATGCATTTAGGTTCCACATTTTGCCTGTTGAGTCCTGTGGCAGACATTCAGTAGTTGTTTCAAGGATCTGGTAGTCATGGCAGTGTGACTGTAGCTCCAGGACACCTTGTGTCTTAAGTCAGTAACCCAACTCAGCTCTGATGTTTAAGGATGAAGAATGGATACAGCTGCCGTCAGTTACATCTTCACTCACACCACCATCAAAGTCTATTTCATTACCTAAAGAATCCATCACTTCTGCTAAAGAAGATGTACAAAGGAAACTCTTTTCCTCAAGTTGCTTTTAGGGGCAGTGAGAATCTAGAATTATAATAGTTGCAAAACACCACACCCTCTCTCTGTGTCCTCCAAACAGGAAACTGTAGGCTGAACTTCAGTCATCTTATAACCACTACATTTTTTTTTTTAAATTCAGTGATCCAAAAGCAAATATATATATCAACAAATGCAATCGTGGTTCAGAACTAAACATGTTAAGTCTAGAAGCTAATTACAATATAGGCAGATTCTTATTTTCTGTTGCGCCAGATGGAAATAGTTCCCATATGTTGTGTATTTCACACAGGCTTCAGATGTCAGGAAATACTAGCAGGAAAGCAATTTAAAAACCTTAGGAGAAGTGCATGTAAATTAGAAATTACTTATCTATCCACTTTTCCCCTTTGGGAGTGAGAGCAGAAAGCAGGAGGCAGTGAACAGTAGGGGGTCACAGGCGAGCTGAGCTGTGGAGTGGCTCTGCTGGCTCTCGAGGACCAAAGAGGGGGCCGCTGAGCACCCAGAGTGTTTCACCCAAGGCCTTGTCTGCATGTCTTCTTTCTCACTGTGACCAGTCCCTAAAGTCCTTATGTTTTTGTACCCCAATACTCCAGGCAAAATCAGAAAAGACAACCCAGAACAGCAAGGCTAGCTCGAATGGAGCATAAGGACTCATGGAGGATGGCGCTCACTCTCTCTGGCTTGCTGCCCTCAGCAGTGGCATCCGTGAAGGACATCCCTGAGATAGAAGATCAGTCATTTAGTCCTCAGGGTGGTCTTTTGAGGCCTTGTAACCATTCAGATGATGTCAGTGGCAAGACCACTGACGGATCACTTGGAAGACTACTTAACTGCAAAGCCCATGTTCTCTGGAGCATTAGGTCATCCCACAGGACCCTGCGTAAGGCCCACCTGCCATATTGTTTTTGAGCAACTTCACGTTCTTTTAAGAGAGGAAATTTTTTTGCACAAAGGAATCAGCCTGATGCCTTAAGACACCTTGTCTCCTCTAGCTCGGTAACCCGGCTAGGAACTAGGGAAACTTCAAAGCCAGTCATTGCGAGCGTTGCGCAGCCACTCTCACACTCTCGGTGCCTGTACAACTTTTTCACACTGAGCACACACACATCAGTAGGAACAGTGCCCTGGAAACAAAGTACCTTTGGAGACAGGATGGATGTAAGTCCCTGGTTAGGTCTTCCTGGATCTAAAGAAGAAAAAGCTTATTGGAGAAGAAGTTGGGGAGTTCAACAGACTGGCAATCAGAGACTTGGCGGCCCCCCTCGGGCCCGCAGAGGCTGCAGGGATCTGGGAGGCCGCCACTCCTCCAGCACATATGGTTTCCATTAGCCTCCATCTTGCTAGGAAACATAATTAAGGGCTTAAGACCGAACCATTTGTTTGTGCTGGGTGTGTGTGTTTTTCTGGTCTGTTTGTCTTTCACAAACAAGACTATTTGTTAGTCACAGGGGTTGTTAAGAGTCTGATACAATCCCAATACTACCCAGGAACAGGTATTATGTTCAGATATTTATGTTGGCTATCTTCAGTGTTGTCCATACTGAAAAACCTTAATAATAAATCGATCACCATGCAGCTGACCACCAGCCTTCTTCCCTTGGGGAGTACTTAGAAAGGAAGAGGTGTTTCAGCTGCAGAAATTAGATTTCTGTACTTGCTGTGGGACTGAAGGCAGTTAGATGGGCATCCATGGAACCAAGGAAAACTCAAATCAATCTGTCTGGGGTCATCTAAAAGAGGAATGTTATCAGCACTTGACAGCAAGGAAATGCACTTTAAAACCTTCCCTAAACCTCTCCTCCACCGGAGGACAAGCCTCACCATGTCCTGTCCTGCTGAGGAAATCCATGCCATTGGCCTCGGAAGGTGATTCACAGTAAATTTTCCCATTTTTAAAATGATGAGTGTTTATTTTAATTAGTTCATATTTCAAGGGTTTGCATGTGAGAAAGGGATTAGCTCGTTCATTTGCGCAACCCTGTTGCAGCTGGGTGCCTCGTGGGTGCTGTGGGGCCGCTCTATAGCTCTTTCTGGTTTTCCCCATGAGCAGAGTGGGAAAGGGGCCTTGGTCACCTCGGACCTCAGCTGGACTTCACCCATGTTTGCTTCATAAATAGGCATCTGAGACCCTCAATACACCTCTCTTCCCCTTCTTCTGATAGTTGCTCAGAGAGCTTACTTCACTGGTGGGTCCCATGATGGTTATAGGTGCAGCCCACTGCTGAGACTGAACTAGTGGTGTTCTGGTAAATGATTAACACACGATCCAGTGGTTAGAACTCTCTGCTTCCACTCCAGGGAGCTCGGGTTCAATCCCCGGTTGGGATCTAAGATCCCACATGCTGTGTGGCATGGTTTCAAAAGAAAAAAAATTAACAGCCAACTCTGGGACGTGGTTGGGAGGGAGCCCTGACTTGTAGCCTTGCAAAGCTGTGATCTAAATACTCCCACACAGCTAATCTTCAAGCTATCAATAGGTCACCAAACAACAGTTGGGGAGAGATGGATATGGTCAGCTTGAAACACCACACTTGACACTCCACCTCTCCGAGGAACAAGAGACACTTAAACCTCTAGTTGGTGCGGGCCGCAAATGTTATCATTTCCATGCACCAGGACAGACATCTGGAAGGCAGTGTAGCATAAATGGCCCTGAATACTGTTAAGTGCCAACCTAGAGAGAACTTGCCCCAACACTCAGGTCCCCACACATCTGGCTTCTAACAGCTGAGGGAGTGGAATCCTGTCTCCTTGCCCTACTCTATGCTCTTCCCCACAAATGCATCTACTGTGGCTGCACCAGCTGCTAATAATCTCACCGAGTATAATTTTAGGCATTTTCTAAAGCCCAGCCCCGGTGGTGATGTCAGACTTGGCCCATCTCACAACCCTGAGAATTCTGCTTCAACAGAAAGGTGTTGGTGGCTTGGCATGTATAGACCTGCACCTGTGCCATGTCTAATTCTGTGTTTCAGTCATTACAGGTCACAACGGTGATATCAAGTAAATGCTCTATAGTGTTAAAACCTAAAGATCTCCTTGTCACCACCAGTGCACACCGGTAGGTAAGGTCAGGCTAAGGAACTTGAACGCTGATCGACACCTTCCTTTTGCCCAGGATTCTGGCCCGCTGGCTCCCCCTAGTGGCGGCTGCGGACAACGACTTCATTGTCATGGAGATAGATTTCCTTCAGCCGTGGTTCAATCTTACTTACCTGAGATCAATATAGTACATTAGCGGTGCCGGGGGACCGGTGACCCCCGGCCTGTGGCAATTAGAAAGGGCGGGAAGGTGGTATCGATTGATGCTCTGGCCCTCATCTTTTAACCCTCAGGAAACCAGACAGACTCAAGTGTCTTGACAGCATGACATCTTCATTAGATAAACTGGATCTCTTTCCTCAGGAGACCCAATCCGGTCATCTAAGTAAAATGGCCATTTCATTTTCTCTCAGGTCAATTTCACTATCTTTGATTTGACAGCTCAGTCTCTCGGGAAATTCATGGGTGATTAGAGTAGTAACATCAAGGACCTCACTGTTACGGCAACAGTGAGCTGTGTCCCACCGCCTCTGCTGAAGGCATGTGAAGCCCTTTGTGAAAGAGCGACCATCCATTCACACGCCCCTGGGCCCAAACTGTCATCAGTGTTTTACAAGGAAAGGCGCCACTACAAGGTGTCCCACAAATGGTTTTAAGAGCTAAAATTCATTTCCTGACTGTTCTTCACCAACGTATGCCTTCCTTAAATGTGAACACAAATCAGAATATGTTGACAGTCACATACTCACAGAGCTACCCAGCAGAAGAAAGAACTTTATAACAGGGGCCAACACTAAAAGGGGCCAAGAAACAGCGCAGAAAGGAAACTTTAGGAGCAACCCCATTCTTCGGACACAAACTAAACTGGACTTGCTTTTATACTCAGAAGGGATCCGGCGAAGAGCAAGCTTTGGGGGCAGGAGGCTGCGTGAGCCCTAAGGTCCCAAGGAGCCTGCACCTACTTGATGGGGGGAAAGGGATAACCAGCAGGTGGCATAGGAGGAAAATTCCCCAGCAGCCAAAATGCACACCGTCACGGAATGTCTTCCTTTTTTTGAGGTTTGGGGTGGAGTTCCTATGGGAAGAACTGGAGGAGGCCAAGTGCTAGCTCCAGCACGTGTAGTCTTATCACTCGAACTCAGAATGGTGTTGGGGGGAGGGGTAGGCATGATGGACACAGAATAGCCTGGGAGACAAGAAACCGGAAGCCAGGGCCCTGGGTGTAAAGCTGGTCTTAGGTGAGGGCTCCTCGCTGACAAAGCAGCACAGGCAGAACCATACCCTCACAGAGGTGCAGCCACCCTCCTGGGTCTGAGTGCCTGCTGCCCCCGGTCAAACCATCCGTGGCCTGCATCTTCATCACGTCAGCCCCACTCCTGGCTTTTCCCAGCTGGACCCTCAGCTCCCTGTCTGACTCTCAGACCCCAGAGAGCTCCACATTTCCGCTGAGGAAACGTGTGGTGGAGGGGGCCGTGGGGCCTGGCCCTGGGCCCAGTGCCCCCTACCTGCCCACCACGCAGCTGCCTGCCTTCTTTCCCTGCCTTTCCCAAAGCCCAGCAGAGGAAGGCGGGCTGTCCAGAAGCCTCGGAGCAGGACCCATGCGGAGAGACCTCGGGACAGAGCCCCAGAGCCCGTCAGCCTCGCTCCTTCACAGCCGACCTCCTCTCCCGCGTCACACAGCCCGTATAAAAATGAAGCAGCAGCAATTTTTATTGAGGGACCTAAACTGAAAATAGGTTTAGAACATAATTTAAAAAAATAAAACAGCAAAAGTAGCAAAAAATATATGACCTTTTTAAAAACATTTTCCTTTTTTTTCTTTTTTCTTTGTTTTTAATATATAGCAACTGATGCCTCCCAACCACCAGGAGCATCTTACCCAATGGGTAAATCTCTGGTAACGACCCTTTTAAAAAGACATGTAAATATATACTCAGATTTATACACTTTGTGTTTTCTTCGTAGCTATGTACAGAGCCCCTGCTTTGGGGCTGGGCCCCAGGGCCACGCCGCCGGCTCCCCGCCTCTGTGTCCCCACCCTTGGGTACCAGGTATTTGGTCAGCAAAGCAAATTAGTATCGGAATCAATAAGCCACTGGCACTATCCGTCGGAGCAGAGGTCGCCTTCTGTGGAGGCCCGAGCGCTGACCACCCCCACACCCAGCTCCCGCTGTAGCCCGAGGACCTGCCGCCAGAACACGGGTACATGGGCGGCGCAGAGCAGGCGAGACCAATGCAGGAAAACTCAGTCGGCTCGTGCTCGAGGGCGGCTCGGCCCCCATGCCCGACCCTCCAGGCGGCAGGGAGGGGGTCTTGGTCCAAGATTTGGCAGGCCACGTAGTAGCCGTCAGCAAGGACCGGCCTTCCTGCTCCTCTGTGTCAGGCTGTGAGGAGGAGAGGAGGGGAGCTCGGGGGTGCGGGCCTCAAGGAGGCCGGCCGGCAGAGCACAGGGGAGGCAGCGAGTCCAGCAGAGGAGGGGCGGGGCCACAGCTGAGGATGGAGTCCGGGGAGAGGTGCAAGGTGTGGGGGCCAGTCAGCGCCGTTTGAGTCCGCCGTTGGCCAGCTGGGCCGGGTGTCGGGGCAGGCAGGGTTCCTCGGGCAAGGGCTCGTGAGAGAAGACGGAATCCTCTCCGGAGGAGCAGGTGGAGCTGCGGGTGTCAGGGAAACTGGGGGAGTATTGGTCCAGGGGCATTGACAGGTCCAGGTACTCCTGAAGGCGGAGACAAAAAGATGGAGGACCCACACTCTCCTTCCCGCGGCGGCGGGATTCATTCCGCGACAACTTGGAATGAATCTCGCGAGAACTCGAATCGGTAGGCACACAGGGTCTAAGAAAGGCCGCCTCACCTGGTTGGAGGTCAAGGCGACGATGCGGTCCAGGTCTTCCACCAGCTGCTTGAAGGTGGGTCTCTGTGAGGGGACCGCGTGCCAGCAGTCTCTCATCATCATGTAGCTGGGGCAGGATGCGAGGTCGTGGTGGGGGGAGAGGACAGGCTTAGGGCGGAGGGGCCGCGGGCAGCTGGCTGCGCGCCCCCTATTCCTCCCTCTATGCCCCGAGCCCAGCCCGCCCCCAGGGCCCAGCCCAGGACCCCAGGCATCTTTTCTCAGGCTTACAGCTCGTTGGTGCAGTTACTGGGCTTGTCCATACGATGACCCTCCTTCAGCAGCTTGAAAAGCTCCTCCACGGGGACCCCAGGGTACGGGGAGCCGCCCAGAGTGAAGATTTCCCAGAGGAGTACCCCAAAAGACCACCTGTGGATGAGCGTTGTGGGCACAGAGCTAGGCCCCCTCACTGTTTTCACCACCTCTCCCCCCAAGTCCTCGACCCCAGGGGACCAGGGGGGGTCAACTTCTGGGGACAAAGTGAAGGGGCAACGTTTCGTTCATTTTCTGAGACAGGATGTGGGGCTGTACCACCCTGGAAACTCCCCCCAGAAACTGCTTATCTCAGACTCACACGTCGCTCTGGTGGGTGTAGATCCGGTCAAACAAGGCCTCCGGTGCCATCCACTTGACGGGCAGTCGGCCCTGCAAGCAGCACGGGGACGCTGGGATGGCCCGGGGCAGGCAGGGGTGGACGCAGGGCTCGACTCAGCTCACCCGCCCACCCAGCCAGTGGGGGTGGGGGAAGCCCAGCGGCTCGGAGTCCTGGGGTAGAGGACTGGCAGCGCCTGCACTTACGTTAGTTGTCTTTTTATAGTAGTCGATGTGGTGGATGTCTCGAGCAAGACCGAAGTCTGCGATCTTCATTACATTGTCCTCCGTCACCAGGACGTTCCTGGCGGCCAGGTCCCGGTGGATGCACTGTGGAGCCCAGAGGGCAAGAGGCATTGGGGGTAGGGTGGAGGTGGGCGCAGGGGAGGGTCAGCAGCCGCCAGTGGGCCCACTTCCCTCACCGGCCCTCTGAACCATCCAGTTTCCTGCTACAGGGTCCCTCTCCTGTAGGTCAAAGCCAGACATCCAAACACCCCCAGCTCTGGGGCTGCCCAGTCACTTCAGCAAACCCTCCAGGCATGTTACCCTCCTGGTGCCTGGCTTTCAATCTGCAGGCAGTGAGCTGAACCCCTCTCTGCTCTGTCCAGTTTGCATGGGCTCTCATGGGGATTCCCTGTCTCCCCAGCCAAGAATATCCATACAGGCCTGGGCTCAAACAAAGCAGCTTTTACCCAGCACCCAAAGCTGCACCTACCTCTCACACAGGACCTCATCTCCTCCCTGTAACCAGTTACAGCCTAGGCATCATCGTTCTAACTTCATACTGGTCCAGCCCAATCCCAAGGCCACGTGGCTCTCCTGGCTCTGATGTCCCCCCCACCCCCCGCCACCCCCCAGGGTCCCACGCTATCCAGGGGAGTGTCAGGAGCCACACCTTCTTGGAGGCAAGATACTCCATGCCTCGGGCCACCTGGTAGGCGCAGGATACCAGGTCCTTGGAGGAAAGCTGCTCCTCGGGGTGGTGGCTGGGGTTGTAGCAGTACTCCAGCCCCGGCGGCCTCCGGGCCTGCAGGTACTCCCGGAGGTTGCCTTTGGAGGCGTACTCCACAATGACATACAGGGGACCTGGGCACATGGGCATGGAGAGGCCGTCAGGGCCGCCGGGCGAGCGGATGGGCTGAGTCTCGCCTGGAGGAACCCCTTCCCCAAGACACATCACGAGCCTGTTCCCCAGGCCTCACCTCCCCTTTGAGGGGACCCCAGAAATTCATCCCACTCCCCAAAAGAAAACAAAGGCAGTCATTCTTCTCAGCCTAGTCCAGGACATTCCCAAGCAAAGCTGGGGCCAGAGCCCTGACCTTGACCACAGCAAGTCACCTATTCTGGCCACACGGTGTGCATGGATCCAGGTGCCTGGACTCAGATGAACCGCCATGGGCGTCGGGCTGGACCCCGAGAAACACATTCCAAAGCTAAAGTGGCCTCTCACCCCAACCCACTTCCCTCAGTGTGGCTGAGAGATGCCTGATCCCTGATGCCCCAGCTGGGCATCTTCTCCCTGACAGACAGACAGACAGATGGCAGGAGCCTGAATGTCTGCCTGAGCCCCTCCCCCACACAGATGGAAGCCTGCTGGCAGGGCACCCACCATCCTGTGTGCAGGCCCCCAGCAGGTTGATGATGTTCTTGTGTTTTCCAATCATCTTCATCATCTCCATCTCGGAGATCAGGTCCGACAGGTCTTTCTCTGTTGCATCCGCTGCATGGACAAAGCAGAGAAGGGGATGGAGAAGCATTTGCGTCAGAAGGGAGGCCAACAGGATAAAAACTAAGGGAGGGGGATGAGGTGAACACCCAGGGGTCCCTTTCCTCTGGGACTTGCTTCTCTCTTTACACGACCCTTCCCTCGGCCTTTTTTTCTTTTTTTGGCAGCACCACACGGCTTGTGGGATCTCCTCTGCAGAGCAAGTGTAGAGAGTTAACTGCTTGACTGCCAGGAAGTCCCTTCCCTCTCCTTTTCACATCCAAATTTATCTCCCCTTCCCTCTTATGAGAGCTGCCGGTGTTGCCAAAAAAAAAACACCAGGATCTGGGGTCACCACCTGATGACGGACGCCAAGAAACAAAGTGAGGTCGTGGTGAGATGGCGGGGTGTGCAGTGCCCCCCAACTCCAGGACAACCTGAGCCGGCTGTGGAGCAGGTGCAGGTAATGGCCTGAGGCCCGGAGTTCGCTGGGAAAGGGAAGGGGTCGTTTCTGCAGGGACACAGACACCACATACACTTCAGCATCTTCACGGCCACTTTGGTCACACGGTTGGGTTTGTCCTTGTCCAGCCCGATGGCCTCCGCCAACACCACCTGCCCAAAGCAGCCCTCTCCCAGGGGCTTGCCTAAAACCAGTCTTCAGGGAAACAAATGTTGGGATAAGCTGGAGTGGTAACGTTCAAACCTGACAGAAACCCCCACTCCCCCCCGCCCCCCACCGCCTCCAGTTCCCCCGACTAAGAGCAGACGGTGGCAGTCACTTCTGGATGCTCCCCTGAAGGTCTGAGCCCATACTACTGCCCCTATTAGAATAATGAGCCGGTGGGGGGGTGGTCACCTGTCCCGAGGCAGCTCCCAGCGAGGGTCTTCGGGAAGCTCGTATTCAGAGACCCCGGCCAGCATAGGGGTGCCGCTGGAGGACAGACGCGAGGGTCGAACCAGCAGGACCCCGGAGTTCATGGACGCGCTGGAGTCAGCCGACACCTGCAGGGAGGCGTGGGGTCACCCTTCCAGCAGGATCGGGGGAGCAGTGGCAGGTCCCTCCCCTCCCCGCTCAGGACTTGTTGCTAAAGGCAGTGGTGTGGACCTGGCATCTGGTGCTCCCTCCTAACACAGGCAGAAAAGCCACAGGAGGTCGGAAGACCAAGGTTCTAACACTAACTTATGTTTGCCACCAACTCACCTTCCTGGGTTTTGGATTACTCACCTTTCACATGAGCATGAAGCCTGACATTCTACTGTAACTTATCAGTACAAGAGCAACTCTCTTCCTGTCCCCATTCTTATGTGAAAACCCTGCCATGGATGAGGGGTTCCTGACTCCTGAAGTCCCTTCCAGAATTATCATGGCTTGGAGCGAAGACTGCCTCCTCCTTTCACACACCTTCCCCCTCTTCCATCTCCTGGGATGAGGGGAGGCAGGCGCACAGGAGTGAGAGGGCATCTTGGGACCCAGCTCAGCTTCTCTGCTTTGCACATTTGTACCCGTAATGGGCCCTCAGGGGAAGCTCAGATTCATAATATCAACTAGGCATTTAGCCCAGTGAGGATGTCTCCCAGTCCCGAGGCTGGCTGAGCAGGGCACGGTGGTTGAGGTAAGATGGGCTCACAGGATTCATCGGCCAGAAAAGCTTGGAGCCTGACCCCGAGCACTTAGGACATTCCCCTGCTGCCACCTGGAAGCCGGAAACCAAAGTCCGAAGCAGTCAGTGGGGACCATGGAGAGGACAGAGTGCCGGCAGGCCCCGCAGGGAGGACGCACAGGGCGAGGCAGAGGGTGCGAACCCCCCGTCTACTTTCTGTTACCTGTCTGCGCAGAGGGATGCTCTTGGCCAGCTTGTGCACGGCCATCTGGCTGTGGAAGTCACTCTTCTTCGTGCCGCTCTTCATCTTGTAGATGATGACAGACCCCACCATGCAGGAGATAAGGAAGGCCCCCGTGCAATAGATGATGATCTCCAGGTACAGCGGCGAGGTCATCACCGCCGGTCTCTCTTCCAGGGCTGGGTCAGCGTGAACAGGACGTTAGTGGGCTCAGGGCAGGGCTGGTCCACTAGGGTCCTGGTTCCCTAAGAAACTCAACATCCATCTCCTATACTCTGGGAATCTGGGGGGCAGAGACTAACCGAGCTAGGTCCTAGCTGGGATTGGGGTCCTGACACAGCACACAGCAGACATCCTGGGATCTGTGAGGCTCCCTGACCCTGACTTGAATCCCCAGAAGGATGGATTGTATCTTGCTAGCCAATGCCCATGCCCATGAACTCAGAAGCCCTCCTGGCTCAGGGACTGCTGGACTGGATGGGTACTTGGTGCCCTGCAAGAGACAGCTGAGGACTCGCTCACGCTAGATGCTTCTCTCAAGTGTTCCCATGGACACACAGCCCTTCTCCACAGTGCCCGAGCACTGCGTCAACACCTATCACGGGACAGCGAACCATCCATCAGTCTTTCATTACTGATGGCCCAGGGGTACCCTGAGGGCCCAGGTGGCACCTCATCCATGTCTGCAGGCCACAGCGCCTGGCATCTGGTGGCACTCATAGCGCAAAGAAAGTGATGCAGGGAGGAAAGAAGAAAACCAGTGTATGTCCTGACTTCATTGCTCAGCTTTGCCTGCGTCATCTCTATCAGGTCAGACGTGTAAACGTCTACATCTAGCCAAACTGCAGACAGAACTTTGCTTCCAAATGTTGTCTGGATTATTAAAGATAAATATGGAAACATCTCTTAAGACTTCCACTCACAGGTCTAACTCCTCACACTGAGGAAGGTCAGGGAGGGGGTAGTTTTATTCTCTTCTCTATTCAAACTCTCCCGCCTCCCACCTGCACTGAAGCCCACACAACTCAAGCCTCTTTCCCTCCCGCACGGAGGTGGGGAGGGTCCCATCCAGCGGGACATCCCTTCCCCCACCCCTCCCCTATTAAAGACCCCTGCCAGCTGCAGGGGCCAGCACCATGAGGACCTCTCCCAGGAGGCCTCAGACATGACCCCAAACCAGCCCAAAGAGAACTCCCCGAGGTGCAATGAGGAACGGCAGAGCTGATAACAGGGAGAAGCGTTTCTGTTTTTCTCTTTCCTTAGCATGGAGAAACAGACGATCCACTGGGAGGCACAACACAGGACAGAGACAGTGACGAAGAGAAAAACAGAAAATGCTTCTGCGCCTCCAGTGGGGCGCACGTTATCAGAGGAGGAGAGGGAGGGACAAAGAAAGAGACCAGAGTCCGCGGGAACCTGAGAACCTGAGAAGCGCCGCACCTGGCTCCAGACCCGAGGCCACCAGCCCACCACCCTGCCCAGGCTGCAGGCTCCTGCCTTCCTGGCCCGACCCCCACGGCCCTCTCTGGAAAGGAGCTGCGTTGGGAGCCAAAGAGCATAAATGGGCACCACTGAGCCCCCTGTACTGCCTGGGAAAGGACTCGCTCAAAGCAGTTCAAGTCCACTGTCTGGGTCTGGAGATCAGCACGGGGAGGGTAGAGGGCACTGGTGCTTACCAGTGGCAAGCCCCTCCCTTCAGAGCACCTACATTCAGTTACCGGGGGAGCTTCTCGGAGACTTCAGAGGGCTGGGGTAAAGGAGTGGCTGAGTCAAGGAAGACTGCTGGACCCGAGGAGGGAAGGAGCCTGCCCTGGAGGAGAGCCCGGCTGCAGGTTAGATCCAGATCCCATGCATGCATCACTCTGGCCCCGGGGAGAGACGGAGGCAGGCCCACAAGTGAGGGCAATCTGAGATCCTGCGCCAGGAGGAAGGCTCCGGGGTGAGCCGAGAAGGCCCGACCCCCGAGGCCGGATGACTTGCCGGAGCCGCCTGCTGTGTACGGGGCCTGGCTCTGCGTCTCCCGCGACCCGTGATGCATGCTCCCCCCGTGCCCCTGGCGAGGGCAGGACATCGAGAGGAGGACAGTGTATACCTTCCAGAACGGTCAGCCATGCAGAGTGATGGGAGAGTCCGATAGAGTTACCCGCCAAGCACGTATACTCCCCCGCGTCCTCAAAGGAGACGTTCCTTAAGTGCAGCACCTCCATCTCTTTGTCGGTGGTGTTAACTCCGGCCGTCTAGAAGAGACAAGGGAGCCACATGGACAAGCCCGGGACCGGAGACCTCGCAGAGAGGGAGGAGGAGGAGGAAAGGGGAAAAACGAATGACCCGAGGAAGAAAGGTTCCCCAGCGTCTCCTTTGCAACAACGGACAGACAGAATCACCAGGCAGCGAGAGACCTGTTAGAGGAAGAGGGTGAGAGCCTGAGGAGGAGCTCGGCAGACCTGACGGCGCGACGCGGATGGCTGGTTACACCCGTCACCAGGCGCGGCAGCCCCGGCCCGACCCGGCATGCGGCGCGAGCGCATGGAGAAATGGGGCCGGCGCGCGGCGGGTTGGTTTCCGGAGGGCACACACAGGAGGGACGGGGTGGGGGCTGCGGACTCACACACACACCCATACACACCACACACTCCCCCCCACACACCCTCACACACACCACACACTCCCCCACACACCCATACACACCACACACACACCCCCACACCCTCACACACACACCCATACACACCCCCACACACACTCCCCCACACACCCCCCCACACACACCACACACTCCCCCACACACACTGCACACACACCCCCATACACACCCTCACACACACACCCATACACACTGCACACACACACTCCCCCCATACACACCCCCCACACACCCTCACACACTCACCCATACACACCCCCATACACACCCCCACACACCCTCACACACCCATACACACCCCCATACACACCCTCACACACACACCCCACACACACTCCCCCCACACACCCTCACACACCCATACACACTGCACACACACACCCCCATACACTCACCACCCATACACACCCCACACACACTCACCCCCACACACACTCACCCCCCCACACACACACCCTCACACACACACACCCATACACACCCCCCCACACACCCTCACACACACACCACACACACCCTCCCACACACACACACCACACACTCCCCCTCACACACCCTCACACACACTCCCATACACACCCCCTTACACCCATACACACACCACACACACACTAACACACACACACATACACCCCCCCCACACCCCCCGACACCCTCACCCCCCCACACCCATACACACCCCCCACTCCCTCACACACATACACACACACACCCTCACACACACACTCCCATACACACCCCACATACACACTCTCACCCCTCCCACACACACCCACACAAATACCCCCTTACATCCCCCCACATACACTCTCACCCCCCACAGCCACACACTCACACGCACACAAATACCTCCCCCACATCCCACACACATACACTCACCCCACACACACGCACACAAATACCCCCCACACACTCACCCACACAAATACCCCCACACACTCGCCCCCCCACACGCACACAAATACCCCCCCACACACATACCCCCCACCCCGCACCTCACACACACCCCACACACTCTCACCCACACAAATACCCCCCATACACACCCTCCCCACACACCACACATACACTCTCAACTCCCACACTCACACCCCCCACAAACACACACTCACCCCCCCCACACTCACCCCCCCCACACACATACCCCCCCAATCCCACATACACACACTCTCACCACACACACCCCCATATACACTCACATCCTCACACACCCCCCATCTCCCACCCCCGTCACCCACAAACACTGCACACACACCCCCACACCCCCCTACACCCACACCCCACCTCCCACACACACCCCCAGATCCTCACACACACACACCCACACACTCATACCTCACTCTCACACACACACCCACACCCTCACACACACACACCCACACTCATACCTCACTCGCACACACACCCCCCATATACACTCACATCCTCACACACCCCATCCCCCACCCCCGTCACCCACAAACACACCCACATACACTGCACACACACCCCCACACCCCACACACCCACACCCCACCTCCCACACACACCCCCAGACCCTCACACACACACACACCCACACCCACACACTCATACCTCACTCTCACACACACACCCACACTCATACCTCACTCTCACACACACACCCACACCCTCACACACACACACTGCTGCAGACGCTGGTCCTCTCTCCTCTCCATCACTCGGACCCTCGGTCTCCAGGATCACGCAGGACGCACCCCATACAGAGCCAAGAACACACATGAGGCACAGAGGGGTGACACCAACACAGAACCAACCAGTCAGCCGCCCAGGCCGGGTATTTTTCCATGGCTCCGGGCACTAGAAACACAGCAGGCCAACAGGGAGAGTGGGGTGCTGGCCTCCCCACAGCTGCCCTGGCAGCTCGGGGCCTCCGTCAAACCCCCAGCACAGGGGCCCCTCCAGCTCCCCGTTACCTTTTGCCACAGGTCTGGTGACTGTGAGCCACGCAGACTGGTTAGCTTCACCAATATAATTGGAAACCTTACACACATACTCCCCGCTCTGGGCCTCTGTCACATTGAACAGGGTCAGGACCTCCGCATCCGAGCTATTTATCCCCGAATGCTGGAACAGACCAACGACACGCCGTCAGTTGGGCCAACACGGAGATGTGGCCATATTTGCTCCCGTGCAGTGTTAAGGTGGGCCTGGGAGCTAAGGCAAGGGGCTGAGGTGACACATGTCCTCTTTCCCTCATTAGCAGGACGAAAAAGTGGACTTTAAAAATCCATGTAACTGAAAAACAAACTGAATGAAAAAAATCATTGCCCCAAGGAAATGTTTCATTTGTGTTAAACCCCCTCCTCCAGGAAGAGGGCAGAGGTTGCCAATGGAGATGGCAGCCAAGGTCCAAGGCCCCAGGCCCACTTCCTCCACGGCAGTTTCAGTGCCCGAGGTGAGGAGTGCGGTGGCTGGGAACTCTTTGGAACAGCCAAGCCAGGGAGGAGGAGGTCTAAGGCTGGGACCAGGAGGGAAAGCAGGTTCCCAGCTTCTGGTTACTTCCTGTTGCAAGATCCATTGGAGAATTAGGCAATTAGCTTCCCTGGATTAATGGAGCATTCAGGGACATTCAAAGTCTGGGAGTGGGAGGAAAAAAAGGAAGAAAGTGCCATTACTCCTGAAACCGCTGAGGACTGACCCGTGGCCTCGGCTTTTCCAGCCCTACCTAAGCTAAGCCATGCCTGGCATCAGCCAGTGTGCCAGAAAGGACGTGACTTGGGAAGCAGGGCACAGACTGGGAGATGCTTGCTGGGAAGGCTGTGGTAGTGGGCAGTGGGACAGCAGAGTGCCAACGCCTTCCCGGAGAAGCTGACCCAAAAGCCTGGGCATGGTCACCGTCCAAGCTCTTCAGAAGCCAGCAGTGCTCACCCCTAGCCCTCGGCGCCCCACAAGCCTTCACCCATGACCTGCCACTGGTCCTTTGGAAAGTGGCTGGGGCCCCATGTAAGATGGAACCTGGACCCAGTAGAAGGACCGGGGCCCAATCGCGGTGACTGGGCCGGACCCCAGCCACCTGGGTCCCAGGCGATACGGGCCTCCTTCCCTGAGCCCAGCCCATGGAGACTGGAGCCAGGATTACCTTCAAGATCTGGACATAAGGCAGGTTGTCCGGCCCAATCTTACTCCCGTTCACCTCGATGTGCTTCAGCCACTGGATGTGGGGTTGCGGGTCGCTGTACACCTTGCACATGAACTCCACGTTGCTGCCCAGGGCCACGGTCTTGTTGGCCGGCAAGCCTGCCTGCAGGATGGGCCGGTGAGGGGACCGCTCTGCGGGGGCACGGGACGGGAGAGGGTCGTCAGGCCCCGCCATGGCCGCTCCTGGCTGGGATGCCGACAGAGCATCCCAAGGACCAGCACAGCCTACCTGCCTGTAACTAAACCCACAGTCACTCAGACTCTTGCTGTTCAGTGTGGTCTGGGAACTGCAGCGCCAGCTTCACCAGCCTGTTAGAAACACTGACCCTCAGATCCTACTCCGGACCTCCTGGATCACAAGCTTGTTTTTTGGTTTTTTTTTTTTTTGGCTGCACTGCATGGCTCGCAGGATCTTAGTTCTCCAACCAGGGACTGAACTGGGCTGTGGCAGGGAAAGTACCGAGTCCTAACCTCTGAACCTCCAGGGAATTCCCCAGAAGCTTCTTTGCATACCATATCCTCAAAGCCAAGGCAGAACAGTGGCTGCAAAACTCTTTACCTTAAGGTCGCCAGAGAATGAGATTCAGAGCCTCTGGAAGGCAGAGGCTGCACCACAGCACCAGGAGGCACGGCGTTCTTCCTAGGGTCTTGTGCAGTGCCAGGAGTCTGTGTAGACTGACCCCTCTGAGCCTCAGTGTGCCCCTCTGTACAATGGGAACAACAGCGCCCACCTTGCAGGGCGCTAGAAGAATTGCCTGTGGTGTATTTACTGTACCTGGCAGACCACTCACATCCATGGAGTGGCAGCTACTATTAAGCTAGATTAACCACCACTATGCCAGTCACCTCCTGCAGGAGAGACTCAACAGCACTTTCCCCTTTACAATGAACCTGTGGTACCGCTGATCCTCCCAGCTCTACTGATGGATGAGAAAAGGGAGGTGTAAAAAAGGAAGGTGACGGAGCTAATAAATGCCACAGCATCCTGACTCCACCCCTAAGTGAACATGGCTGCCAGGCTGTGCTCTCCGCATCCCTGCTCCTTCCACCAAGCTCCTCCTCCTGTCGCCACCCTCTTACCCACGACATCGAGCTGGTAGGTATGGTTGATGCTGCCGTATTCATTCTCCACGATGCAGGTGTAGTTGCCCTTATCAGAAGGCACCACGGAGTCCATAATGATGCTCCAGGTGGCATAACGGACCTGAGGGGAAACATGCAAAGGGCCCCACCGTGGGTCTGGAGGGAAAGGTGGGCAGAAGCCACGCAATCTCCAATCAGAGCACGCAGCCCGGCTACACAGGGAGCCAGGGACCGTCATCCCAGTTCACTCATACTCTGCAAGAAGGCATCAGGCAGAGGGGTGTGAGGACTCGGAAAGTCTGCCCGCCACGGCCAAGGCCATTTGCAATCTGGACAAACGTGCCTTCGGAGCCCTCCCAAATACATTGCGAACTTTCCCAACCCTGCACCCCTGTCCACACTGCTCTTGTGCCAGAGCAGCGTCATGCTAAGAGTCCAGCCGTGTCCACCCCTGACATCTCGTTTCAGAGTCCATCTGCTGTTCTCCTATCCCTCTGTGCCTCACAGGTGCAGTGCTCCCATTAGACAGAATTCTGCATGGGCAGGACGCTGCCTCATAAGACCCAGAGCATTGCACACAGCAAGTGCTGGGTGAGTTACTTTATAAACAGTTTATTTTTCTGACTTCCTTTGCTTCTCATTTTCAATATCTATGTATTTTGGCTGCGCCGGGTCTTGGTTGCGGCATGTGGGATCACGTTCCCTGATCAGGGACAGAGCCAGGCCCCTGGCTTTGGGAGCAAGGAGTCTTGGGCACTGGATCACTAGGAAGCCCCTCCTCTACTTTTCTTATGCAAGATTAATGAGAAAAGAGCAACTAGGTGAGATGGGAGAGAAACAGGAATGGTGAGAGTGATCACAGGGTTTAAAGGAGGGTTAGATGAAGACATTCTTCCTAGAATTATAAATGGGCAAAGACTTGAACAGTTTCCACAACAAGAAATGGAAACCACTTATGAACACATGAAAATTCTAAGTTTGTTCCTAAGCAAAATAGCCCACAAGAGAACAATTTGATATTCTCCCCTGTCAAATTTGTGGGCAAAAGTATAGCCAGTTTATCATTCTCATACTCTGCTATGGGAAGGCGAATTCCTTTTCCCTTTTAAGAAAGTAACTGCTACCACAATAAAATAAAATAAAATAAAAAATCACACCCCTACTCATTACATCATCTTCCATTAGAGCAAATGTCACAGTAAAATTTTATGTCTTCCCATTGTACTTTGAACTCTATTGCCTAATATATTTTCTAGAAAGACATGTATACACGAAATGTTGGTGTAAAAAATGAATAAGTGAACAAATGAATAAACTTACCTAACTTTATTAGGGAAAAAAAAAAGGATTTGGGTAACATGCATCAAGAGCTTAAAAATGCTTATACTTTGCTCTAGTAACTTCCAGCAATCTGTCCCTAAAGAAGAATATTTTAAAATATTGACATAACTACAAAGATATTCACCATAACATTATTTACAGCAGTGAAAAACTGGAAAATAACTAGTATCACAAAATAGTTCATTAAATTATGGGGCAATTAATACTGGGATATTATAAAGCCATGAAAAACTGTCTTTCTAATACATGGCAAAAGACTCATAACGTTAACAACTGGCAAGAAATTAGATAGACAACGTGATTGACCATGTAAAAACCACATATGTAGAAAAAAGACTAAAAAGACTTAAGTTTATCTGCTTTTTTAGTATTTGAAAATTTTCTAGAGTGTTGTTTAAAATTGTTTAAAACAATTAAAGGCATATAAGTAAGGATTTTCTAAGTAGTGTCTCTTGCTCGCCTTATTTCAGCTTTCTGGAGTAAGTAAAAACCCAGGTACCTTGTAGCCTCCAATCCTGTGGTCGGGCTTGAATTCTTTGCCATTTTTCAGCCAGCGCAGCGTGGGGTTTGGGGTCCCACTGGAAGGGCATTTGAACTTCACTGTCTTGGCAGCTGGCACTGCATGCAGTTTCTTTTCCATCTTTTCTGGCGACGTCCAGTACGGAGCCACGGCTGCCCAGGGAGAGCGGAGAGAGACAGACAGGGCCTGGTCAGACTTGGGGGAGGCCCCACCCACCTGCTTGCCACCTGTGAACGATGCCAGCACGGGTCCAGACCCCGGAGGGGTGGTCCCCCGGGCCAAGTGTCGTGCCCCGCCACCCCTTCCTTCTCCAGTCGTTTGCCCAAGCTTCCTCCTTTCCCTTTCCGTTCCAACCCAACCCCCGGGCCTGGAGGCCAGAAAGGAAGGAAACAGTGTCTCACGCATACGGTTTGGTTTGGTGTTATCTGTTTCCTTCTCCTCCGAAGAGGAGTCATCGTCGTCATCGTCGTCCTCCGATGAGGGGAGCGCATCTAGGGCAAGAGGGAGGGGGCACTGAGGTCCCTCACCAGGAAAAGACGCTGCAGCTTGCATCCAGTCCACAGCCACCCCGGGAACATGAGGGCCAGTCCAGTAACAGCCGAACGCAGCGATCGCTCCCCACACTGCCTCCTGGGCTCACGCCTCCTTCAGTGCCCATCCCTCCACGGGACAGACACAGTTTATGTAAGAACTGCATGCCCTGTACCGACCCCAACGCACCCCTTCCCTGCCCTGAAGCCTTTACCCCGGGCAGCTCCATCACAGAGGACAGGTGGGGTTCTCTTTAACCTAACTCCACCCCACACTCAGAGGCTCACGCCGTGTCTCAGAACCAGCAGCCAGGGCACCCAAACCCTCCTTTGGAAACCCAGACAGATCGAGGCACTGTGGCCAGAAGCCATTTCCGAAGCCCTGGGTCGAATGCTCTGGAGTCGCAACATTTCTAGCATGTGTCCGCTGAGGTCGGGGAACTGCGCTTCTCAACCAGAGTGGACAGGAACCCGCAAAACAGTGGGCAGCTGCCAACGCCTGCCCCCAAGTATCCACCCCTTTGAGCATGTGGTCACCCATCAAGGTTCATGCCAGATCGTCCTCCAGTCCTTTCTAGTTGTTTTGGGGGCATCTGGAGGGAAGTGAAGGAGGCACATCCCTCCGCTGGGGAGGGGGGCGTTCTAGACGATGTTTGGCGGATGGAGGAGAGGCCAGGCTCACAGCCTGAGATGTATAAGTGGTGTAAAGAGAATTCCAGCTCTACTCAGTTCAGTCCTAAGGTTTTGTAAAAGTCACATCCTACAAGTGGCAGGTCCCCAGAGTCACAGAGCTCTAGGGTTCCCTGGCTGCCCTGACACAGCTCTGGAAGCTAGAGAACACATGTCTCCCATCAAGCCGTGACTATGGTGGAGCAACTGGGTCATCCCCCATCCCATGGGGACCTCACCACAAATCTGGGGGCGTGGATGACCAATCCCACCACCAAGTCCAAACAGCCAGGGAACAAGAGTTTGGAAGCTGCCTGAGCCCTTGGGCACCCCCAATGACCTGGGCAGGCTGTGCTGGAGAAACCACCGTGCCTCACTGCCCCCCGGGGTGTCAGCAAGCACCCCCGAGGTGGGTCCAGGCAGCCTCCTGCTCTCTGACCCGACCCGAGGCCGGCACCCCGAGTCACCCCTTGAGAGCTAAGCCACGCAGCGGGCGGGAGCGATGTTAGTGGGTGGCAGCTTCTGCAGCAGAAGGGGGGGTGCGGATGATGGCAGAGGAAGAGGCCGGCCTCCCCCTGAGACCAGCAGAGAGGGAGGCAGGGGCGGGGAGAGGCGGAGGGCGGACTTGGCTACCCACCTGAGACGTTGACGGAGAAGTAGGTGGTGTCGCTGCCGGAGGGGCTGCTGGTCACGCAGGCGTAGAGGCCTGAGTCGGCGGGCACGGAGCCCCGAACCTCCACCTCCTCCCCGGTGATGCGCGTGCGGTTGCTGTCCGCCAGCTGCACCCCGTCCCGCAGCCAGTTGATGCTCTGAACATCGTCCCGCAGCCGGCAGCGGAGCTGCAGCAGGTCACCGGGGTGCACTAGGAGGGACTCCACTTCCACGGGGGCTCCCCAGGGCTGGGCTGCAGCCGCCGCAGGGACCAGGAAGAGGGCAGAGGGAGCAGGGGGCAGGAGGGGTGGGGAAAGACAAAGGCATTATGCCGGCCGCACGGAGCCATGGAGCCGCAGCGTCCCCGGGGGCGGGGTACAGAGCTGGGGAGGCGGGTCAGTCGGGGGGATGGCTGGCTCTCTGGGCACCCAAGGCTTCCTGTCCACCCCAACTCCTCCAGAGGGCAAAGAAGACAGAGGCGAAGTTAGGAAGCAGCTGCAGCAGCATTAAGCAGTTCAGAGTGGGTTTCCCTCCATCTTTTGGTGGGGGGGAGGCAGCTGGCCCTCCCTGGGACCCCTGTGTGTCTAAGAGCACCCCTTCCCCACACACACAGCTCTTTACCAAGAGCAGCCGCTTCCCAGGGGAACACTCTGTTCGCTTTCGGGTGGGGCAGCCTCACCCCTCTCCCCAGGAACAAGCCCCCACCAAAACGCAGCAGCCCCCCATGTGGGGGGCAGCGTGTCATGGGCGGGGCTGTAGAACCAAGTGATCAGTACTGGAAGGGGCTCTGAGCCCTGCAAGAAGTCCGATGCGCAGGGTGTATACGCAGGAGGGACGGCCCGAGGAGAGGTCAGCTCAGGGGAACCTCTGGCTAACAGGTGTTGGGCCAGAGGATTCGGAGCTTTTGACTATATTAGGAACGGAGGCCGGCAGCTGCCACAAAACCCACACTTGCCCTGGCAGCAAAAGCCGCTCTACACAAAGCTCCTTTCTCCTCGCCCCACTGCAGGGCTCCCCCTCTCGAGCCCCCCACCTCCTCTCCACTGCCCTCCCCTGACACGCAGGCACACACACCCACTCCCCCTCACTGCTCCCCCACCCCACCCCGAGCCCGGGGGTCAACACACCCACCCCTCTCGACCAGCAATGCTGAACTCACACCAACAGGAAGGCCTGAGGCTGAACACAGGATAAGGACACCTTCGGGGCGGACCTGTCTTCTCCCGGGCACCCCACACCCATCTCAGGACTTGCATGCCTGCTCCTGGCATCTTCCGCCCTCTGTCCGGCCTCCACCAGAACAACACACCTGCGGTAGCTCGCACCCACCACCGGCCTGGTTTCCCTGCCTTCTGCAGCCTTCTTTCTTTCTTACCCCCGGTTCGCCACCAGAGGCTCGCCGGCAGCCCACTTCAGGTCCCGGACTCGGGAGGCTCTGACAGGCACCTGGCTCCGCCGCCCTGGTGTCTCTGCTTGGCTCTCCACCCGGCCTCTGGTTCTCAGCCTGGCTGGAAACTGCACCAAAGGCCTTTCTGACCCCAGTCTGGGTCAGGGGCCCTCCCCTCACACTTGTCGCCCTGGAGGAGAGGCCCCTTTCTCAATAAGGTTGCCAGAGTGGGGACATGTCACATTTACCTTCAAACCCCATCACCCAGGAGGGCCCTGGCCCACGAGAGCTGCCAACAAAAGCTTGCTGAATAATCTGACAATGATGCACTGTCTCTCTGTTGTCTTCCCTTCCAAACTCCGCTTCTCCTTCACCACCTCATTTTAACCCACTCTTTCTGAAGTCCCCACCAGGTTTCTGCTAAAAAACCTCACTGATGAAATGCTTCCCGGGCACCAGGGACTAACAGTAGCTTTTTGGAGGGGCCTCGGATGAGGCTCCGAGGCCATGGCTGCAGGCCGGGTGCCCCTTGACCCAAGGGCTCTGTCTTAAGTCCTACGTAAATACTGAGTCATCAAAAAGGAGGTGCTGGTTTAAAAGGGTTTGGAAACAAACCACCAGGCCTGCACTCATTTATTTTTGTGAATCAGGTCAAGAGGGACACCACAAAGGTGAGCAGACCACACATTGATTAAAAATAAGCTTTTGTGGGTCTTGGAAAAAAAAAGTTATTCTTTCCATTTTTAATGGTTTGTGGTTTTGCCAAGAGAAGGCAGAAGAAAAGCCATTCAGACTTGACCCTTAGGGAAACAGAAGACGCTCCTATGGATCAAATCTCATTTTCCTGCAATGACCTCACTGATTAAATATTTTGCAGCTCATGATCTGTACCAGCCGTTGGTCAAACAGTAAACTCCGGTAAACTCAAATTCTTAGCCTCTGGCATCACAGCCTATTTTGACAAGTCTCAGAAACAAATAGGTAGCGGGAAGAACAGGGGTGTTGCCCCAAGAGAAAGCAACAAAGGGAGACTCGGCTCTGCTGGGACCAGCTCAGGCTGATCCCATTTGGATCTGAAACTCCCCGCTCTTCCTGGCCAGGACATGCGAACAGAACTCTTCTGCGTGATCTATATAAAGCCTCAAGAGCCAGCTTACTTGTCCCTGTCCCTGGAGGTCAAGCTCACCCCGATGCGCCAGGCCACAGTGTGCTAGTCCCGCTCCTTCTCCTGATCAATATCGAAGGCTGTGCAGAGGGTGAACTCTAACCCGGTGCTTTGCCTTCAAGGCTCCTCTCAGTCTGTTCCCTCCTCCCCACGTGACCGTCTTCTCCCCACCTTCCACGCCAAGTCTGGCTGTTTTCTGCACTAACCGTATTCTGCAGCCACAACAAAACTGACTTCTGCTCAAGGCTGTTGAGCATCTCTCGAGAACCCTCCTACCTACCTGCTCAAAGTGCACCATTCAAGACACCCCACCCTCCTTTCCTGTAAAAACTGTTACCATCTGAATAGCACAAACTTGCATTTAATTCCATGCCATCTTGCACTGTTGCTTTTTCAAACATCTTTACTGAGATGTAACTCATGTATCATAAAATTCACCCATTTAGAGTGTATCATTCAATACTTTTTGGTATAGTCACAGAATGCAAACATATCACCACGATGTACCTTTAGAACATTTGCATCACCCCCAAAAGAAACCCCATACCCATTAGCAGTCACTGACTATCCCCTCCCCCTCCACCAGCCGAGGCAACCATCGATCTGCTTTGTCTCTATAGATTTGCCTATATTAGATATTTCATATCAGTGGACTTGTGCAATATAGTTTTTTTGTGTCCTCCTTTCTCTTAGTATGTTTTCAAGGTTTTTTCATGTTGTCTTATGTACTTTATTCCTTTTACTGGCCAAATAATATTCCATTGTGTGTGTATACCACATTTTATTAATCTAGTTGTTGGCTGATGTACATTTGGGTGTATTTTTTCCTAATTGTCAAAAGTATCCATGTCTTGCCCAAGAAACAAAAGCAACTCAGACCAACAGAGTGGTCTATTATAGTTTTCCCACGGTGCCTAACAATGTCAGAAATACAGAAAAATACTCAGTAGGTCTTGAAGTTAGCATCTGGCAAAGACTAAATTTTAGAGGAACTGAAAACATTCTTCTCAATTTAAACCAAAACCTACGGCTCTTGGTTTATGGTGGATTTTTTTCACGGCTAATAGTGCTCTTGGATGTGTGTCAAAGCCTCCATTTACAAAGCAGGTAAATGCCACTTTCTTTGAGGAGGTAATGGAAAGGTAACTGACCACCTGCTGGTTTACTGGGCCCTATCCCTCTGTGTCACTGCCTGGAGTAGCAGCCCTGACCCTGGAGCATCGTCTGTAAGGCAACTGATGCGGGCATCCCTGCTCACTGGCCGCCTGCAACAACCAAGTCATTACTCTTCATTCTCCTGCGGTCTTTGCAGGGTCCCCCATTTATGTCCCCGTTGGAAAGGCCCTTGCATCTGTGGCTCCATCTCCACTGAGATGGCCTTTCTCTGACCAGGACCCATGGACCAGGGCTCTACGTGCCGTTAGGCATCAGGGAGCAAGAAAGGAGCTGACACCTTTGTTGGGCTGGCCATGACTGATGAAGAAGAGAAAGCAGTTTATTGGGCAGCAACTTGAAGGACATTCCAACGCTTCATGAATTGGAGTGGGGAGGCTGCGGGGGAAGCTGCAAACCCACACAGTCGCTTTGTATGTCCTGTTTCCTGACAGATGAGGTGGGCGACGGAGGCTGGGGGACATTGGGTATCTGTATTCCGTGGGGACTAGGCCTGAGGCTGAAAGCGCTTGGTATGAGTTTCACTCTGACAAGCTCTGGGTGCAGGGTGCTTGGGGTGCCCCGGAGAAAAATGGTGCATGCTGCTTCCACGCCCACATCAGATCGTCACCGGGAGCAAGAAGGTTAGGGTTAGGGTTGGACCTGACTTGCACACCCTTAGAAGATCAAGGGTACCCTGGCCATCTCTTCAGAAAACAGGAGGGAATGAAGGCTCCTGCTTAGCTGCCTGAATCTGGGGGCTGAGGAGGACTCTGGTCCCGGGGCAGCTTCTAGGACCGTGCAGACAGCAGGTGGACCATGGAAGGCCATGTTGGCTGGACCCAGGACTCTCTTAGTGGGAGGGACGGGGGTTCAGACAGCAATCACCAGTCCCATCTGCTTCTCTAATGGAACCTCTCCACCCTCCAAGGGGAACTAGGAACAGATCAGGGACCCACACGTTTTAGTAATCCTCAAGGAAGCAGCTAGAAAAACAGAGGTGAGAGGCGGTACTTCTCAAGTCTAGGAATGTGATCAATGTTAGCGAGGACCTACGGAATCCCTCTCCCTCCCTACTTTCCTCCAAAACACCAGGGCTCTGTAATTGCCAATGAGCCAACAGCATATAGCAGAAGTTGGCTCATGGCAGGACTGGGCCAGAACTCTGCCACTGCCATCAGCAGGCAGCTCTGTCCTGGGTTCATCTGTTCAGATCCAAGTTCTTGATTCTAAACTTTGAGGCTTCTGCCAGCCCCGAGCACGGTGCAGGATGGGCAATGACCAGAAGGAGGCTCAAATCCATACAAACGTGGTCATTAGAAGATGAGACCCCAGTTTCCCCCAAATCCAAGAAGACAGGGATTTCTCCAGAATGGCTATCAGCGGGTGTCTCCGTGAGCCCTTGCTGCTGTGAGAGAGATGTCGTGGATTAAAATAAGGAGCAAAAGAGCTGGTCAGCCTTGGGCTAGCCAGGGTGATAAGATTTACACAGTACCTGGTTGGTATGGAGTACTTTATCATACAACACGAGGTAACGGGAGAACAATGTGAGAGCCCAGGACAGGTGACCCAGCACAGGCTCCGAGGTTTCAGAACTTAAGTATTGGTGGTCAAGGCGGATGGTGATGTTTGCAGCACCGGGGAACATGATGGTAGGGGAAGGCAGTGAAACTTTGTGGGAAGCAGAAAAAGACAGGGTGCTTACGAGCAAGGCAGTGCCTCGGGATGAAGGGGATGGGAGATGAGACTAGACCATATGGCCTGCCTGGAACAAAAGAAGACACAGCAGAAAACAGCCCCCTCCGAATGATTTCAACTTAAAGGTCGGTGGACAGAACAGAACCACTCAAGAAGTCCCAGGGAACACGCTCCTCCGCAATCACTGTGAATGCAGGCCTTTCATGCCACATAGACAAACATACCTGAAAATGTATTTTAAAAATACCACTTCACCAGCTTTGGGCCCATAAGAACCAATTTGGTTTGGAAAATATCCATCCCGGAGCCCCACAACTTCACATGAATCCAGCGAGGAACAGCACCATATTTGCATAGCACTTTACGACTGACCACGCGCCTCCCCATATATTATCTTGGGATCCTTAAACAACTCTGAAAACAGTAACACCAATATTGGCCAATACCGGCAGCAGGCTTACTATCTACATCCCATATCCTGTGAATGCTTTTACTACAGAGTATCCCTGAATCCTCAGAGCAACCATGAAAGTGAGTAGCTGGGTCGTGCCCGACTCTGTGACCCCATGGACTAGAGCCCGCCAGGCTCCTCTGTCCATGGGACTCTCTAGGCGAGAATACTGGAGTGGGTTGCCATTCCCTCCTCCAGGGGATCTTCCCCACCCAGCAATCGAAGTTGGGTCTCCTGCATTGCAGGCAGATTCTGTACCAACTGAGCCACCCGGGGAAGCCCATGGGAGGTTGATACCATTGTTCCCTCTACCCTGGGAACGCAGAAGCTGATGGTATGCCGAGTGCAAATGCTTTACAACAACCCCGTGAAGTGAGGACCATCACCCTCCTTTGACGGAGGGGACATGGAGGCCCGGGGGGTTCAGGATGTGTCCAAGACAGCCCACCTAGTCAGTAACTGGCTGAGCAGGGATTTGCCCCCAGGTGGCCTGGCTCTTCAGAATCCACATGCATCCAGAACCTCTGAAAGAGACCAGCGCAAAGGGTCTCTATTTGCACTGTCTTTGCAATCCTTGCCTCCGGAAGGCGACAGAAGCCCTTTCTGGCGGCCCCTGGGTCCCGCCTAACGGCACCTGCGTCTCCTACCTCCCTCCCATGGGACTCTGCAGGGGCCGCTTTAGCCTCCTCCTCTTCTCACTTCTTCACCTCCACAACCACTACTTGATAACCCGGTGTTTTTTTACTTACAATGCACTTTCCTGGCCATGCTCATCCACGCTTTAGAGTTGAGCAGGTGTCACTGAGCACATCTGGCAGATGAGGAAATTGGCAGGTGGGGGTGGGGCGGCACCTGATGCTTTACAAGGCGAACTTATTCAGCTCTGTGCTCATTTGCATTTATTTCAGTTAAACACGAGACAGTGGAGGTCGAGACTTCTCCCAAAGTCACAGAACAGTCACGAGTCTTAACCACTGAACCACCAGGGAAGTCCCCCAAGTCCCTCTTGAGTGCAGCTTATAGCTGAGCTGATGACCTCAGATGACCCCTGCCCGATCCACTGAAAAGATCAAGAATGTCAGGCAAAGAGGTTGGCCACCCCTCCCCTGGGCCAGCTCCTCCTCCTCCCCCATCACACATCCTGACTGTCCCAGCCCTGGCCCAGGCACTCTGTATCCTGTCCCCTCACGCCCCTGGTTACCCAGTTAGCATGCCCTCCTCCAGGACCTAGGGCCTCTCAAGTCCTGGCCTCCCCCCAGCTCTCCTGCGCCCTCACCAAGCCAATACCCTCACTGCCCTTTATTTTGCTTTCTCCTAAAATACTATTGTTTCCTGTCTCTCCATCACTTCCCCAGACTTGAAAACTCATTCCCTGGAGATTTCTGCAGCTCTGTTGTACAACTCATTTGTAATGTGACCTGCAGATTTTCAAGGCTTTATCGTGAAAAGTGCCTGGCTCATTCAAAATGCTCGGCTGAGGGCTGATCCTTAAATATGTCTCATCTACCTCGGGAGGTCAGTGTGGCATCACCTCTATGCCCACTCCAGAGGGGAAGGGTGTAGGGCTTGAATAGCTAGCCCCCCCAAAAAATCCAGGTGTGACGGATCTCCACAGCTGTCATCCCTTTTTGTTGTTCAGTCGCTCAGTCCTGTCCGACTCTTCGAGACCCCATGGACTGCAGATCGCCAGTCCTTTACTGTCTCGTGGAGTATAATCAAATTCAGGTCCACTGAGTCGGTGATGCCATCCAACCATCTCATCCTCTGTTTCCCGCTTCTCCTCTTGCCCTCAATCTTTCCCAGCATCAAGGTCTTTTCCAATGAGTTGGCTCTTTGCATCGGGTGGCCAAAGGATTGGAGCTTCTCCATTCCTAGGAAATCCTTTGGATTCTGTGCTTCTGGGTTGAGAAAATTAGAAGAGAGGGCCATGCTCTTTGGTAACGTGGGGAACTGGTGGTCCAGGAGTGTTTACAGTCTTGGCACAAACTCCCTAGAGATAAATGAGGGGGCAATTGTGGGTGGGGGAGGAACTCGGGGTGGCTTTGAAAGCAACTTAAAAGGAAGACAGAACAGCCCAGCGGGGCCCCGGGAGCCCTCTGTCGAAGTTTTTATTACGTTATTTTGGCTTTGAAATGGAACTGAAAACTTACTTTAGTCTGGCAAGGCCAGGCCAGAGGGGGTTCTCATCAAAATCCTGGGGGACAACGGTCATCCTGCGAGGGTGGTGGGGTCCAGGGAGGAAGCCCTCCAGATGCGTGATCCCCTGGACGTGTGGCGTCCCCGAGACGGGGTGCACACAGACGTGTGAAGGAGGGGGCATGGGGACACCAGTCAATTAGTGGGGCCTGACACCCTGATCCAGCCGCATTCAACGGGCCCCCGACCCGGGGGGATTTGGAGTGTAGGGTTTTTTTTTTTTTTTTTGAAATAGAAAAAGGGAAAGAAGGAGCATTTTGCATGCAAATGGGCCGCTGCCGAAGAGCCCATTAAAATGTAAAAACTCCACATTCAGCCTGACAAAACGGTGCAAACTGCGGCGTGGGCCAGAGGGGCAGCAATACGGCTCCTGACAAAGGGGCCTGGCCACAATGGGGGCTGAATGGTCTCAGTCAGCGGGTCCCCAATCGCGTTGCCATGGGGACCCCACCCGGGCTTACCGAAGGTATTTCCTGAGGAGAAAGGCAGAGCACACACGCCCAGGCGGCCCGGCTAATCCTGACAGGAAGCCACAGGCATTCAGCAGCCCAGGGGCTTGGGGCCGGGAGTTGTGTTTTGTTTTTATTAAAAAAAAAAAAAAAGATCTCGGGGCTTTTGTGTCGTCCCATCTCGTCACTGTAATTTAGCGCCGAGCCGCCTGCACCGGCCGAGCCGCAGCCAGGACCCGGCACCCACTCCAAGACCCCCCAAAACCGGCTGCCCGGTTAAGCTGCAGGGCAGGCAGGCGAATCCCTGTATTTTGTGCAGACCTTTCCCAAAGACGCAGCAATGGGTAATCCAGCATCAGAGTTGAGTCTGGCATTCTAGCTGATGCATTTTCTTCCCTCCTAGGGACTGGGTTCCCCACCTTCCCCCCCCACCCCCATACCTCCCACCACGAGGAGGAGGATACTCTCAGGCGGCTGTAATTACGTGATTAACAAAGGAATGTGCCAGGAGTAGTTTTTAAGAGAAATCTCCCCTCTTCCTCTTGCCCCAGTGTTTACAGAAGCACTCTGGGCAGAAACTCTTCCTCCAAAGGATGCCCGGTAGCCTTGGCTGCCCTCCTGCCTGCCTTACCAGGAAGAAAGAGCTGCCCTGGGTCTGGGCAAGCTCACCTAAGTCATGCGGGAAGAAGCGTCGGGAGCAAAGGTCGGCCTGCAGCTACTGGGAAGGAAGGTCTCTCAGCTCCGGGTTCCTAGAAGTTTGTCACTGCCTCACACTTGGCACCAGAGGAATCAGCCTTGGCAGATTCAGGGAAGAAAGCCAACAACACAGCTGGCGGTGGAGACAGAAACTCCTGTGTGACAACTGCCCCCCTTGGACACAGTTTAGGGTAAATTAACATTTCCTGAGCAAACTTGTTTGTGGAAGGAGCCGGCCTCCGTGAAGATAACAAATGAAGGGGGCTGGCCCAAGCAGGCTTGTGGGTTTGCAGAGTTCATGCTCTTGCCTCTAAACTCTCCTCTGCAAAATCTTTCGAATCTGGCATTTTGATGGGGCAGTGTAGCAGACCGGAGTTCGATCCCTGGGTTGGGAAGATACCCTGGAGAAGGGAACGGCAACCCACTCGGTATTCCTGCATGGAGGAGCCTGGCGGGCTACAGTCCACAGGCTTGCAAAGAGTTGAACACAACTGAGCAATTTAACATCTTCCCTGGTCACTCATGCGGTAAAAGCATCTGCTTACAATGTGGGAGACCTGGGGTTCCACCCCTGGGTCAGGCAGATTCCCTGGAGAAGGAAATGGCAACCCACTCTGGTACTCTTGCCTGGAAAATCCCACGGATAGAGAAGCCTGGTAGGCTGCAATCCGCGGAGTTGCAAAGAGTCGGATACGACTGAGCGACTTCACTCACTCACTTGAGCAATTAACACAGCACATGCTAGATCAGTTGTTAAATCGTTTGTTTGGGCAGCATTAAGACTGCGCCTCATCACGGCCCTGGAAGCTTCTAGAGCCATGTTCGGTTCTAGAGCCATCTTGGGAAAAGAAGCTGGAGAACCTTGTTCATTCATGGAAAACTTCCCCCTAAAGAACCACACGCCCAGGAAGGACACTTGTGTAGGGATCGGGACACTCGGGTGGGGAACTTCTCCCCCGTCCTAAACTCAAAGCCAAAGTACCATCGGTCACCAACTGTGACAATACAGAACACCTTCCCCCCCAAGTAGTCAGGGGAAGCTGGACTAGCTGAAGAGGTGTGTGTGTGTGTGTTTGTGTGTGAGTGTGCAGGGGTCCTGCTGCTCGGAGGGGAGCTCAGACCCTCCCACCACTGGCCCGGAGCCCAGGCCTCCCCAGCCATGTGTCTGCAGCTGTGACCTGTCAGGCACTTCCTGGTCTGGGTTCTGTAATGGAAAGATCATTAAGGGTGGGGGAGGGACAACGGCGAGGAGGTAACCGGGCAGCAGCTCCCACTCCACCGGGCTCTGACCTTAGAAGTCCAGTCAGGTTCCTCGAAGAAAAGAATGTAGGCGCCTCCCCCCGCCCCGCCCCCTCCACCGGGCTCTGACCTTAGAAGTCCAGTCAGGTTCCTCGAAGAAAAGAATGTACGCGCCCCCCCCCGCCCCGCCCCCTCCCCGGGAACCAGGGATTGAACCCAGGTCTCCCACATTGCAGGCAGATTCTTTACTGTCTTTAAATGGCTGCAAAATTTAACTTTCTGTCAACTACTCAAATATATCTCAGCTAATACATTGCACATAAACCATTGCCAAACATTTAAACTCTGTTCCTCAGCTGCTGCTTCTATACAATGAGTATGTAATAATGGTACTTTTCTCATAGATATTTTTTAATGCTCACTTGACATTGGTGGAAATAAACATGATGTTCCAT